GGCACAAAACTAACCGGGGCAAAGGAATTTGGAAGGCCGATTAAAATTCCCAACCCCCCCCCCCCCCAAATGATTTCTCTCACACAGGTGCGCGCACACAAAATATCTTTTAGTCTCACTCGCTCGCTCCCCACAAACGTGCAGACATACACACAGAGCTAACGAAAACAAGACACGTTTCTACAAAGTGACTGAACGTACTAACAACTGAAAATGACCCTGTCGCCTCACAGTGACCTGAGAGGGGTAAACTAGTTGGTCAGGAGCAATTCAGGCTGCTTGTCATACAGAAGAGGGAGGGGCTGATGGAGTTGAGGGAGGAGGGGGGGGGATGTATATAAGCTGTCTTGTGTTTTAAGATAAGAGTGTAGGTGGATTAACAGTGCAATTTCCTTTAGTTTTCCCCTTCTCCGGTCTCCCCTTCGTCACCCTGGTTTTCTGATGTCCACAGCTGCAAACACACAACATGCACAGTTGAAGTTGTCATGTCAGACCATCAAAACCAATGTGAGGACAAAACAACAAGGCGCAAGTGGGACTCACAGTCAAGTTGTCCCTTAGGAGCTGCATGATCAGGGTGCTGTCTTTATAAGAGTCCTCGTTCAAAGTGTCGAGCTCAGCGATGGCTTCATCAAATGCCTGAAATACAACAAAATGGTTTAAGACCCTCTCAAGCAGCATAGATTGTTCCAGGTTGTGATTGAGGTATTTGACATTTGAGCATTGTCTGGTTTCAGCATGTTCAGTGAACCTGCCTAAAGTATTTTTAATGTACTTGGCAAGCTTTTTTACCATTCAAATTTGGCAGGGTTGTTTGTGACATTGTCAGTGTTTGCTTTTCACTTTTTTGTGCCTCAGGCTGGGCGATTATATTATTGCATTAGTCGATGCAACAAAATTCAGGTCGATCAGTCTTATAGGCTTGATCAAACTTGGCGGAGCTGGACATGAACACAGCCAATCAGAGTCGACCTGGTCCTGCTCCACTTTCATTTGTGTAGCATTGTGGAGAAAGGATTTTTCTCACTCTGTCTCAATTTTTATTTTGGTTTGTAATACTGTTTGTTTCTAACGTTCGCAGTCACACCACTGTCCTAACATGATGCAGGGCTTTTATTTTTTGCTTTTTGAATGAGTCTCTCCTTGGAAGCCACTCTTCAGGGTGGCAGCACTGTCCTCTGTTGGTCAGGGTTAGATATTGCATTCTCTTTGCCCATAATACATTTATTTCCCCCCTTCGTTATGTTATTTTATATTTTTCTTTGTTGTCATATTGAGTAAGAGTTCTTGGGTGCCATACTAATGGAGAAATTACAGATAAAAAACATCACCTTGTCAAACAGCTGTAGATCGAAGTTTAATACAGCTCTCACTATGACACAGGATAGCACTACTGTACACCTTTGAGAACAATGAAAATAATATAATCTAATTGACAAAAAATTAAATTACCATGAACCTGTCGGACTCAAGGTTCAACCAAAATTTGGAAACATTGGTGCTTGTGCCTCTTTTGTATGATGCTTTTTTTTTTTTTTTTGCTTATGTAATTTGTTTTTGATGCTTCGTTAGTGTCTGACTTGGACTTTATATGGTACCTTGGTTGTCTCTATCAGGATCCCGAGTTTGAAAATAAAGTTGACTGCTTGATTGATCAACCATGCTAATTAGCACCCATTATTCAAAAGTAAGATTTATAATTTTATTATTACTCTAAAAGCATTTGTGTAATTCAGGTCGTCTTGGAGCTCATCAGACTACAGTGTGTATGTGTGTTATAGCAAAAAGTTAGATTTCAAAAGTACTCTTAAAATAATTTAGTTCACACCGTCTTTGCCAGACTGCAGGCCTTTTCTGGGTTGTTCTGGATCTCATAATAGAATACAGAGAAGTTGAGGGCCAGTCCAAGCCTAATGGGGTGTGTTGGCTGCATATCCCCCTTGCTAATGTCGAAAGCCTGCTGGTACGCTTGCTGGGAATTATCCACGGTATCTGAAGACAAAAATGGTAGAAATATAGCATTTTTTTTCCTCGTCACATTGAGAGTTATTTAGATTTTTAAAAAAATTTAAAAGGTCATACATTTCAAAAAAGTCATACATATATATATTTGTTGCAGTCAATGTTGCAGTCAAATTCATGAACTACAACAATCAAGTGTATCATGCAAGTCATGTCCTTACTTACCCTTCTTAGCATCTCCGGATGCAACCTCAGACAGGTATCTATAATAGTCGCCCTTCATTTTCAGATAGAACACCTTGCCTTCGGAACTTCCTGCATTAACAATAAGGTACTTGTCCAGTAGCCCCTAAAACGCAGCAGTTGAGATTGTCAAAGTTGTGCAAATGAATGGCTGAAAACCACCGGAAAAGTCAAGAGAACCTCACCAGCACATCATGGCAGATTTCCTGCAGCTCAGATTCGATCTTCTCCCGATACTCGCGAGCCATCTGCTTCTTCTTGTCATTGCCTTCAATCTTCTGCTCAATGCTGGAGATGACGCGCCAGGATGAGCGGCGCGCCCCGACCACATTCTTGTAGGCAACAGAGAGAAGATTGCGCTCCTCATTTGACAGCTCTGTGCTTTGCTCTGTCACACTCTTCATGGCAGCTGCCATATCATCATAACGCTCAGCCTGCTCGGCAAGCTTGGCATTTTGTACCAGGTCGTTCTTATCCATTTCGAGACTGGGGGATACAGAACGCACAGAGGCAGGGTTAGTGATGTAGCGAGGACGACAAGATACCATACCACAGCAGTGATTCACAACGAATATGACATGAGGGATCATCAGGTCTGCTGTGGGAAATTCATCGATTTCAATTGACTATGGAAACTGGTCACTTTGTTAGTTCATGACTCTCTGTACTTTTGTATTCATGTCCTATTGGTATATTTTGTTAACGTGGCTTTTTTTTTAACTGTAGTACTGCAGCGGTTCCAATTACCAGAGGCAAGTTCCCTTTGTGCTTTAACACATTTGGACAATATAGATGATTCTTATACTATGCCAGTTACACATAATGACAGGTAGAACAATTAAATGCTCCTCCGTTAGAGGGCAGAAGCCGCATACCAGTTTTGTGTCCTTTTTGTTTGGTGGTGTGCAGTGAAATTTTTCTCCCACAATAAGGGTTGGGAAACACCGCTTTCTCCAAACAATAAACTAACAGTTGAATGTTATGAAATTTGTCCAGAAACGGCTGCAATATAATGTGAGAAAGACGGCATTAGGTCTTAGAGTGCGGATGAGCGCCGCAAACTGGGCCCCGTGGCAAGTGGGTCAACCTTGCATTTGCCGAGGTTAGCCCCAAGGTAATTACAAGCGCTCTCTCAAATCCCGTCTCTGTTAGCTCAGTTTCGGCAGAAAAAAAATATACTTATTGATCCCTATATCTTTCACGTAGGAAATAACCGCATAACGTGCTCAATAGCATTTTACTACAAAATATAAGCCTTTCCACAAGCATCCGAATCCGTTGCACTGCTATCCAGAACTACTGTTGCTAACGGCGCCAGCGTAATGACACATTTTATTAACAAATACTAACGACGTAAATCGGTTTCATACATTTCTTTCATGCATTTTATAAAGAACACCCAATGCTAGCGTGGGTGAAATTCATATCGTACGTCGTCCAGCAAGCGGAGCGGCTGACGTGCCAAATACATCATTCTCCAACGTTCCGTTGAACGTTCCGTTAGCTAGGCCACAAAAATAAGGTTGATTAAAAAAATACAGAATAAACGCTATTGACAATTCATGTTCCAAACATAGATAAAGGCGCTGCTTGGGTGGAGGGTTTAATAGCACAGCGGCATCTTAATTTATTTTTTTTAAGTTAAAAAATTTTCGGCCGCTTTCTAACACAACACGGCCCGCTAACGCTGGCGAGCCCCTGTTAGAACAAAGTGTCACGGAATCGGAATCGAGGCTATCACGTTAGCCGGTGAGCTAGCCGCTAGCATTAGCAGGCTTGCTAGTGTTAATGCTAATGCTAGTTAGCCCCAGCTAGCCTGCACCGTTATATGATGGCTCCTCAAAAAGGATTCAATTGGCCGCGACGGGGGGAAAAACAGCGTCGTAAATTGAGACCGGCCCATTAGACTGTGATTACAGCTACGGTAGAAAATGAATAAAAACCTCAGCCTAGCGCTGGAAACACTTACAATATTGGCGACTTTTAATCCTGATTATTCTCAACTCTCTGTTAGACGTTTTAATGCTTCCGTCCTCCAGTCGCGCTCGGCGTGTATATCTCAGGGCAGAACCACTTCCGTTATACGGCTACTTGCATTTCCTCTTTTCTCGCCACACATCTGCCTTACGTAAGACATCACGACGCTCTAGACAAGCAATATTAATACATAGAAAGCAAGGGAGGGTTGTCCACCTTGTCAAAATGGGATTTTTCGACTGTTAAGCTCACGGGACAAGATCGCCTGTTATTTGAACGTCATATTACTCTTCTCTTTGTACCTCAAAGTGAGACCGTTTATTGTTCACAGCTAATACATTTCAAGTCAAGTACAACTTTATTGTCAAATGTGCTGCAGCACAGATGAAATTTCTTCCCTCTCCAGACAACATAAAACAAGAGGAGCCGCTGCGGGTGTCCGTGCCGCCATCAAAAGAAAAGTTAACATAAAATGACAAAATAATACAAGACAACACATTAGACACAGACAATGACAAAATAATACAAGACAACACATTAGACACAGTCGTCAAAGGTCAAGGTCAGCAAACAGTACCTTAATGTTATTTTTGAGAGAGTGAAAGTACCAATTTACCGTTTTTGTTTTAATTGGAGGACATTTCTGACTTCCTTCCCAAACATGCATGCACAGAAAAACACATTTATTGTGTAAATTATAGTTGTCCAGATTAGTAGCATCTATCCATCTGTCCATCTCTCCAGTTTCATTTCTGCTGATCCTCACTAGGGTCAAGGATGACTGTCCCAGCTGACACTGGGCGAGGCAGGGTTTGTGATGACTGAATATTATGTAAAATATCAAATAGCTTGCCCGAGCATGTTACAAATCAAATATGGATCATTCCTATCGGCGTCTTTGGGTCCTCGTGAAATTTCTTTTGGTATTTACTTCAAAAAATTAAAATGCTCATTTTTCAATTCAACTTTATTTATATAGCACATTAACATACAAATTGCAACTCCAAGTGCTTTACAGTAACATGTGGTGAGTCAGTGTCACGGTGCGTTTCTTGGTTTCCTATCTGTAAATCGAAAATTATTTTGCCATCAAAAGCACTTTAGCAATCATGTTTTTGTTATTTGTTGTTCCACGCACCACAAAAGCAAAAAATATCGCAGTGATGCTTGACTTTTTTTTTTTTTGGGGGGGGTTGAGGGTTTCTTATTTTACCCAATTTCTCCAATGATTTGGCCCATCTGTCCATTTTAAAAATCAAATGTCGCCCTTGAGCACCGAGGTTTTCGCACTTTTTAAGTCTTCAATTAACAAAACATGTTCTGGAACTGTGGGAGGTAGCCAGACAAATTAAACCTTTTATGTGTGCATTTTGAAGTGTTTTCAACCAAACATTTGGTTGTTAAGAAAAAAATGCTAAACATCATCTACTGAGGTAATGTTAATGTTCTTCTCTTGCTCAACACGCAGTCATCTTAATAAAATCTGTGTGGAACATTTTCCACCTCTCACGCAGTTCAGCTTGAAGCACAGCGGACACCACTTTCTCATTTCTCAACAGTCACAATGACGCGATTAACGACTTTCATTTTCATATATGCAGTGCTGTCCGTGACATTGTCTTTTGCAGAGGGAGCTGAATTTAAAAATAGAGGAACGGTGGAGGTAAGATAAAATTGATTTTTTATTTTTATTTTTTATTTTTTTGAAGAGTGATGGAACCCCCAACCTGGGATGATTTAGATCATGAGGACTTCTTGATTTCTTTTCAGACTGATGTGCATGATTCTGACTTCCTTCAAGATGCAGACCAAGCTGTAGCTTCAAAAGCTAATGGTGAGTTGGACTCAACTAATGTATAACTATCACTAATGTCTAACTATTTTGAAGCTGATTACAATGCTTGAAAATGAATTACTCCACATTCCTGAATACAACTAATGTCCATATGATGTAATGAGGGGTCTGAATAAGTATCCGTTTCCCTAATGTTTGTTTAGTGCATTTGTAGCTGTACAAAAACATAATTGAACATTCCTCCACTGATATGCTGTTCTCATTAACAGGCAATCTAACATGTTTGCTGTGCGTTTGCCTGAGAGAGTTCGTTTATTGTGAGGAGGTGTCTCCTGAAATGTCAGCCGTGCCAGAGTTGCCGAAGGAAACAACTTATTTCTACACACGCTTCAACAAAATCACTAAAATAACCAATAATGACTTTGCAGACATGAGTAAGGAAACACTTTTTTGTAAATTAATCCTTGTCTAAAGTCATCTTTCTTCTTTTTCAAAGCTTCTCTCCATTTTTTTCCAGCCTCATTGAAAATAATTGACCTAAGTGGGAATCTCATCACAGAGATAGAGGACGAAGCTTTTTGCAGACTTGCAAATCTCGAGGAGCTCAATCTTTCAGACAACAGGCTGACTAAACTGCCCGCGCTTCCCGGGATGCTGAGGTTTTTCAACGCAAACTCCAACAGGCTTACATCAAAAGGTCTAAAGACCATTGGTTTCAAGGTAGTAACCATCCAAACCCACTTATCCTGCATTTGAATGATGCATAAATACAGCAAATACAAAGTCTTCAGTTGTGTTGTGTTAAATAAAGTAAATACTACATAATAGTCATCATCAATAAACAAAGCTTCTTTGTTGCAGAAATTCACAAGACTGGCGTATCTCTACCTTGGATACAATAGGCTGAAAACCGTGCCTCGTCTTCCAGAGTCTCTTCACATTGTGCACCTACATGTAAGTTAATGTACAGTGGAACATTTTAAGATTAATGGCACTCCCATCACACCATTGAGAGATTTAGGGGTGAATTTTGGCATCTGGGGGGGGCGGGGGGGGGCATGATTTTCAAGCCATGACTCTCCACATCTGTGTATTGCAAAGACTGAACACAGTGGTGGCACTGAGGAAAAAGCAGTGCTAAAGAATAGAACACGTAAAAAAAAAATATCCCAAAAATGTGGGGTTTGTTGTTTGGGCTGGAACATGTTTTCCCCCATTCATTTCGATTGGTTAAGAGGATTTGACTGCTTTCGGGGTATGGGTGTGGTCACAGGACAGCTCGTGCTGTTGGCAGTTACGCAAATTTGGTGTTACCGTAAAAAAGGCTGAAATCTTTGATGGTTTTGGTAAAACGGTTTGTTTTCCTCCCTTACATGCTCCACTGGGATAATGCTGCTTTATTTTCCTCACAACGCACTAAGAAGTTTGTTTTGCCGGTTGCTACCCTCTTCCTGAATCAAGCCCTCACACGCACAGTCAGAAGATGGAGTAGTGGTCCATTGCATGAGAAGGGCGAGGGGAGCACTCGAACCAACAGATCAAGCATTTTGATGTTTTTAACGTGACTATAGTTGAGAAGAACACAGTCTGCAAAAAGCTTGAAATAACAGAACCCTAACAAATTCAATGCAGCATCTGAATCGCTGGATGAATTAATAGCTGTTAAGGCATCAACATGAACAATTAATCAAATTCAAGTCGCCATCGCATGGGAAGAAGACCTTGAAAAAAAAGAGTAGCCTACTAAATTGCAATTGCATTATTTTTGTGTGTGGGCGAGAAATCTGATTTTGAATATTTTTCAAAATCATTCAGTCTAATGTCTGTTTAGGTGAAATTGTTTTTGGTTGACTTTGGAGGGTGCGCTGTTGTTTAATCGGAGAACAGCTTTACTACAAAACCTTTAAACATTACCAGTTTTTGTCAGGTGTGCCATTGTGATTTGGTTCTGTGTCTCCTACAGAACAACAACATCAATAAAATTACAGAGACGACATTCTGCCAAAGAAACAATCCTCACTACATCCGGAGGAACTTACGAGAACTGAGACTGGATGGAAACCCCATCCAGCTATGGAAACACCCGAACAGCTTCAATTGCCTGCTCACTCTGCCAATCGGATGGTACAAATGAAATAACCAAAATGTGATTTTGATCAAACGGTGAATAAGTTAGACTTTTATATAACCAATGCTGAGTTATACTATTCAAGCATCACCATATACATTGCTGTTGAATTACCAGAAAATCAATCTCCTTTGTCATGCATAATACAGTATACAGCACCTTATTATAATCACGCACCCTAAAAATACACGCTTTGGGAGGGTTTGCCAGGTGCTACGTTGTATTTAAAACCAGATCAAGCGCTTCATACATGAATATGACCATACAATGTCATTTATTTAGATTGTAAAATATATAAACAAACAATAAAATATGCATGATTTTCCCATAATTTCATGGATTTTCGATTTGTGATGCTGTGGCAAAATTCCAAGGATGTGTCCATGATGAAGCGTGTCGAGTCCACACAAGCATCCTTCACTTGGCCGTAGGCTCATTCATAACTATGAAACCATCCGCTACTTTCTGCTGGTACTCCCTCTCTGATCGTTTTCTTCGGTAGACGTCATCTGTCAAGAAAAGGACACAAAACCGACTGGAATCAAGAAACACATTTACAACTTGCTTTTTTTTTTTTTAATCTTGTCCCGCCTTCTTGATGACTAACTTACATGTCAAGCACCGGACAAGAAAACATACATTTTAAATAGCTTCATTTTTTTTTGTATGATTCATTTTATGTCTTACTTTGATTTTTGTAAAACATTTGTTTCAACACAGACATATTTTAGTAATGCAGCATTACGTTATTCTCTGAAGTTGTCTTTCACAACAAATATTAGCCATCTAGGGCAAGAGAAGAAAAAAAATAATCAGCCACATAACTAAGGAGGAATGACATCATCAAACTAATTGCTCTGGCCATGGAGAAACGTCAGGTATGCTTTCACTTCTAGTTTTCATATTTTTTCAGCCATAATGGAGCATGTGATTCAAACCACCACAATCCTCTTACTCCTTTGGAGTTTTTCTTTTTTTTTTTATTAAATCATTATTACACAACAGAGTTTTTCCTTCACTATTATATTCGCATCGCAGCTGTACTCTTGAGCAACATATATTAAGATTAAGATATCCTTTGTCTGTCCCACACTGGGGAAATTTACAGTCTACAGCAGCAAAATTGGGGGGTAGAAAGAAGAAAAACTAGTGTTTGCATTCACAAAAAATAAATAAATATATTTGCAGTGATTTTGAACCCTGTTAGTGTGATTAGGGTAAGGTAGATTAAATTGTAAATTCCAATTAATGCAGCTTTCTTTTTTGAATTGCAAATGATTTCTTCCGCAATATTTTTGAAATATATGGAATGGATACAAAAACATAATAAGATGTAAAATGAATTATGTGATGTAAAAGAATAATAAAAAAGCAGTTTTGTCAATATACATAAACATACGCATTTCTGTGATGTTATAATTGCATTACATTTGGATGCTGTCAATAGGTTGTGCGTTGACCATTTAACATATTGACACCAAAGAGTAAAAAGGGACTACCAAAATAACACAAAGTGAGTGTGTCACTTTGCCAAGTTGCACTTACAGAATGTTTCTTTTCCTATCCTCACGTTGATCATGATCCACTCCATGACACCTCCAATGCAAAAAAAGACTGGAAGAAATCTATACGGACCAAAACGACGTTTCCCAGGAACGAGACCGAGAAAATATCGCAGTGTTATACTCCTCTGAAGCATGCCAAGGACGTGTAAGCAACCAAAAAAGGTCTGACAAATTAAATATGATTTTTGAGGTATGGTGGTTTCCTAAACGTCCTTCCCAAACGTAGGGTGCGCTTGTTTCAATATATGATCTCTCCTGACAAAAACGCGGGCGGTTTATTGCAAATTGTGAGCGTGTCTTCGAGTCAAAATATCATTAAAATCAAAACAAGCGCACCCGTAATAACGTCATATCCGGTAGTGCTAGCGTATTTCCGGTTGAACTAGGCGCTCGAACCCACGTGTAATTGGTTAAAATATTATCGATAGATTAATCTGTTAAATTAAACAACTAATAAATCATAAATTTTATTCGTGAATGACGACGAGCGAAAGGTATTAGTATCTCTCTCTCTCTCTCTCTCTCTCTCTCTCTCTCTCTCGCTATATATATATATATATATATATATATTGTACATTAATGCAGTTACCAATTAGTTTGAAGCATGAAGAATTTGGCAGACAGCTAATATAGTTTAAAATGCCAGTTTTCTGTGATAATCCATCAGAATTGTGGTTGCACAAATGTGCACGCATGCACACCTCTTTAAAACTGGGACGTGGTTGCGGTCAGAAAGAACCAATTACATCCTAACCCGGAAATGGGAGTCAGCACATACCAGGCAGAATTTAAAATGCATCAAATTAACCCCCACCTCAAGTTCAGATAGGCCTTTCCTGACATTTTCTTGTTTGCTTTCTAGCAAAAGCCTGGAGGTTTTGTGCCAACACTGACTGCTATTTGGAACTGTTCATAATTCCCTCCACCTGGTTTCAGGCCCCAGGTCCAGCAGAAGAAAAAACAGCAACAAACCATGAAGCTGCCTCTACCACGCTTCACTGTAGGCATCGTGTTCTTTTAGGGATGAGAAGTGCTCTGTTAGGGCCAAAGATACCTTTTGCATTTACGATCAAAAAGTTCTACCTTGACTGAAGAATTTTCTAGATGGATGGATAAATACAGTAGATGATACTGTAAATCAGATGGAGGATAGATGAATGATCGGTACTTTATTCATACACAAGCTAAATTCATGAAGTGCAAGTAAGTTGCAAGTAAGGTAAAGGCATAAAATGACACATTGCCAATAGCGGGTTTATTGATGGCAATTGTAACAGCATGACACAAAACTGCACAGACATATCTAAACACATACATTAAACACATGCAACAACTGTACGGGACATAAGTACCATTAAGATTATAAAGAGCGAAGGGGCTTTCTTTTAAACTCCACCATGAGCTCACCAGAAATGGCAACAAGAATCAGTATGAAATTTTTTTTCCCTTTTTTGGACAGAATAATTTGGGAGGCAAAATGCAATTTTTTAACAATACCACCAGGAGTAAGACTCCAAGAGCTCTTTAACGCAAGACGGTAGCTGAAGCCGAAAGCAAGCGTCCCATATGGTACCCTTTTCCCAGTGCGTTTATATTTGGCCTCTGATCAAAAGCATCATAGAGCAATACAAAGGCAAGTCAAATGTATAGCAGCATACACGCACAGGCAGCAGTCATCACTCACTGCTTGACATACATGACTTTGTTGCAGAGTAACTGCTGCAGTACGTATTGCTCATTTCAACAAATATGACGTACAAACACTTGCATCACATACAGTGTTGTGACCAAGGTTTTCATCATGGCTTTTTTTTTTTTTTGAGGAATCCTTTTTTTGAATCCTCACTCCACTTTGTTTGTTTTGAAGAATCCTTTTTTGAATCCTCACTCCACTCTGTTCTCAGTCATGTCTTTGTAATCATCTTTTGATACTACAGTGAAACTCCTCTACAACGAAACTTACATGGGCAAAAATACCCCCTAGTGTGAAAAAAATGTTCATGCATGAAAGGCATTCCCACTTTCTGCTCCCCCTATGACGAAAAGTCCCCCTGTTCTGTTATATGAAATCTTTTTCTCTGCTCTTGCCTCGCAACGAGATTCACTGCAACGAAAACAAGCCTTCCACAAAAGTGTAATCCAACCTCAGCATGCCACATCGACCTCTACTGCTTTGTTCGGAAATGGCAACTGCAACCACCACACTGGTTTACACATGCGCAGTAGTACATTAAGTATTTGTTATTGTTAATTTCAGACGTAGGACAAACGTTGCATTGCTAAAATGGCTACGAAACGGGCCTTTGCAGACCAAGGAGTTAAGAAAAAAAAGCATTCACGCTTGAAAACAGGATAAAAGTAATAAAAGTGAAAGATGGAGGAAGCAAAGTAAAACATTATACAAGAAATTGCTGTAAGTGAAAGTGAATGCTGATTGTAAATTTCGCAATTTCTTTCCCGTTTTTGTCTTTCTACACTGGCTATATGAAGTGTCAAATAAGTATATGCTCATATTTATGCACTACGTATTGGAATAAAAATGAAGAGTACACACATACGTTGTGCGTGTGTGTGTGTTTACATCTGAGATAAAATTTGCTACAGTGAAAAACCCCCTGTTGTGAAAAATTTCTTGCTGCAAACATGATTTCGTTGTAGAAGAGTTTCACTGTATTACTGGTTTTACACATGGGGCAGTATGGAGTGGGTGAGTCTATAAATACAGTCTTAATTGGTTGAGGACAACAACAACATTCTTATGGAAGAATTGAAAATACTCCCTTTATGCAATGAATAAATCAGTCTTCAACGATTTGAGCCGGTCGACAGAAAGTCCAGTGATGCTCTACTGTGTTCTCATTGGCCCGCTCGCTCATGTGGTGCACACGCGTGTTTCGGATGGTGAAGCCTTGTTTCATGATGTAGTCCATGAGATGAACTCGCAGGGACACCTCCTGATGATAGTCACATGGCCCGAAGGTGAAAGACACCTGGCAGTCTCTGGTGTCCATCATGTGTTTGTTCCACTTGGTGAAGTTGTTGGAAATGCCCTCGAGCAGAGCATGGACCTTTGTCGTTATGGTTAACTGTGTGATGATGACTGCTACTGGGTTGGAGTATTTGGACAGTTTGCGTGTGCTGGAAAGCTCCACAACCTGCTCAAAGATGTCCGGAGGGTACAGAGGCTTGGGATCGCTTAGGCAGTGGATCAAGGGTTCAATCTGGTAGAAGTCGGCCTCTTTCCTCAGCAGATCTGTCTCTGTGAAGTCAGCCGGGAGGGTTAGCTCCGACGTCCGCAGGAAGTTCAGGATGTACCTGAAAAGTGTCCCGTCGCGGTCAATGAAGTAATTTCCATGGGAGTCGCGAGCTGTTGGGAAGTCTCCCCGGAACATGGCGCCCAACATGGAGTCAGGATAACGCTGCAGTGTGGACAAGCTGGTTGTGTACAGGTGACCTCCTACGTTTAAGGTAACAGGAGTAGTCATCTAAAGCAAAGGCAAGAAGAGGGAGAGGACCATTTTGATGCATTCACACAACCCCAGGCAATTAAATCAGAAGGGATGCACTCATACCAATATCAGTGTCAGTGCCGATATTCTACGTCTGTCGTGATGGAAAAAAATTATGTTATGATCAGATAAGAAAACCTTTATTTGTCTCACAATGGAGAAATTACCATGTATGTAATATGTTATTTACCTTAAGGGCATGTGGCATAGAAGCCATGTCAGCCGTGTTGAATAACTTAAATCAGCCCACATGCATTACCACAGATTTTACTTTTAATTAGTTATTTTTATTCAAGATTTTTTTTTTATTCAAGATTATTTATTTACACCCCCCTAAAAAAAATCTTCAAAAGATGCAGATAAACATTCAATACTGTGTACATTTCCACTAAACGCAGAGGTAAATGTTGAAAAACATCTCCTAGAAAACTTAAATATATACCTGTGTGTGTGTGTGTGTGTGTGTGTGTGTGTGTGTGTGTGTGTGTATGTATGTATGTATGTATGTATGTATGTATGTATGTATGTCTCTCTCTCTCTCTCTCTCTATATATATATTTTCAAAGCCATCTCGTTACCTCTGCGTCCCGCGTCCTCGATGCATAATTTTCCCACGGGACGCACAGTTCCAAATAATGTGCGTTTTTGGGACGCAAGGAAATTTCTCAGTCAAAATAAAGAAAAAAACACTACGGTACATCTTTTTTTCCAGCAACAATCGCAGTTTGACAATTGTTGTTTTGATCTCGCGTTAAGTAATCTCGCATGACGAGATTTCCGTTCTCGCGAGACGAGATTGACGAGCTCGGCAGACGATTGCCAAGTTTGTGTAACGTTAAAACAAGTGTTGCGAACAAGTGTTGCGAAAGTTTATTGCGGAGATATGACAGAGGAAGCAGCTAAAGTTGGATAGTTTTTTGCGATAATAAGTTGACTTTGAGAAAGCCTTGCATCATTGGAAGCAGAGTAAAGAGAGGAGAATTTATGAACTCAACGACTGAACCATGGGATGAAATAAAAACCTATTTCTCAGCAAATCTTGTATGCCTGAATTATTTAAATTTTTGCAGCGTTTGTTTATAAGAAATAAACCTATTATCAATGTATATTGTTGTTGTTTGTGTTATAGAATTCAAAATTTGGGACTCTCTCAATGCATAATGGGACTCATACTTTCCTGATCAGCGAGTCCCTGGGACCCGCAGGGCTCAAAACTGTAAAATATTCACTGTGTGTAAAATATATATATATATATATAAAATTCCAGGGTCCCGAACTGCAAATATGTTGTAGTTTTGAGTCTTAATATCACCATTCACCACCACTAGCTGGCAGACATGTCTGAGTTGCACTTCCACTTGGTTGGCCTAATTATTTTTTGGCTGATTTGGAATGATGTGCTGGACACACATAGTTTCTCAACAATAACATTTTGAGTGGTTTCTTGCACTTAAAGTTGTTTTTTTGGTGCCATCTTTACATGGTCATTTTTATCCGAGAGCCATTTGCAGTGGAAAAAAAAATATGTGGTGGGTATATTGTTGTTTGCTATGTTAGAGTAGCGGAGCTTTCTTACATACAGTGAGAAATGTATCGGGAAAAATGGAATATATTAAGAGCATGTATTTTGTCCATATCTAATGTCACATTTGTGTCATACAGCTGGTTAGGAAGTGTGTGGTCCTATATGTGGTCCCCGAGGAGCACAGAAGAAAAACTACAGCCCGCTCCATTTAAGTTTCTCATCCCTGACTTAAACATAAAGGAAGGCAACACTTTGACGATGAACTAACTCGTGATCAGCCCCATCGCCGGCGCGGCAATCCCTTCACAAAGCTACGACTGACAACACGCTGCGCTGTGACACGGTGGATGTTAAAATGTTAGTAAGGACATGTTACTCTCAAAAAAGTGTATATTTGGGTGAAACTAAAACCATGAAAGAGGACAATCAAAGTCTCCTTTCACCAGTGGATCAGAGACGCCCCTGATCACAGCGTGCATGACGGCACACACGTCTGCTTCAAACGAGGTGTGGAAGTAAATAAGAAGCTGAAGCATCTCTTACCCTATGGCCCCAGCCTCCATTATCCATTTGTAGACAAAAACACACTTGGTCAGGACCAAAACACGGAGCAGCAAACGTGGTTTGGCTCAATTCACTTTCACATGGAAAACAAAGTTAGTGCGAGGTCAGTCTCATCACTTCCATCAGCAACACTTCAATAAATGAGATCTGGCTATCCAGTTATTTCTCAGGCCAAATTAGTTTCCAAGTTAATTGTGCTTCTAACATCATATACAAATCTTTACCATCACAGTGACAGTAAAATGCACAACACTAATTACAATATATTGAAATCACACATTTGTTGTTTATTAAGCAGTGTTGAACACGATCCAACATAAACCCTTTCACTATCTATCTAAATGCTTAACCTTATCTGAGGTGAGGGTGAGTTTCTCCCAGCTGGGGTACACCCTGGATTGCTCGCCAGCCAGTCACAGGGCATACAGTGGAACCTGGAGTTCTGAATGTCCTTTTTTTATGACCAAGTTGGGTTACAACAACATTTTCGTAGAAAAACAAACTCTGTTTATATCTATTTCGATTTTTGATAGATGAACGGTCTTGGCATGCACGAGCGGATGGATCTATGATCTTTTTTTTCCCGCTGTGTAACCATCATTGGCAACAAGCATCACACATTGCTGTAAACAGAAAATTAAAGCTGTTGCATATGTTGGGAGACACCACATCATTGATCGTCAAATCACAAATCTATTAGCAGTTGGGTTTCTGAATGACGTGGTTTTCACCCCCCCACCCCAAAAAAAAACCCCAACGATTTAGAGTGTGTATGTTATTTATTGAAATGTAGTGTCTCTTCACTTAAGACTGATTAGATTTTACTGCAGCATTTTCATGAATCCATTCTTCAATCTCTTGTTTTAATCCCCATTTTCGTGGTGTCTTTTATTTAATCTAGACTGATGCTTGGTTTTTCATTGTAATATAATCATGTTAGACGCTTTTATTATGATTTTGGTGATGTCTTAATGATACATTGTTTCTCTTTCCACAATATGTTTAATGTAAATAATTTTCAATTGTATTGTACATGAAGTGAGATATGCAAATAAACTTGCATTGCCAATATTTTGGAGAGGGAACGGATTAATTGCATTTGTATTCATTTTCAATGGGAAAAAATTTCCTCAATTTATGAACGTTTCAGGTTTCTAATGAACTCTTGGAAGCAATTAACTTCTTAACTAGAGGTTCTACTGTATACAAGCGCTGTTGGGCAATTTAACGTCTTCAATAAACTTAAGCATGGATGTGGGGGGGAATCCATAGAGGACGATATGGCTCCTCATCCCCGTCCTCATAACTTTAGGACAGATGTGCTTACCACTCTTCACCGTGTCACCCACCCCTATCTTTCCCTTTCCACTCCCATTGCAAACGAATGCTGCTAAGGCCGTATTTGCTCTGTGCTAAGAGGAACACCAAAGCGGGAAGCATTGGAAATGTGAACTTTCTTAATTAACAATGTCATATAAACTTCAATTACAACAAGAGCAGTTAATGCTATCCAGCTACTAGCTAGCCTCCTAGCTAGTGAGGCTAGCGAGTTAACAATGTAGCTGATGTTACTACGAAGCATTTGCGTCTTGAACTTATTCATTTTAGACGTGACAGAAACGATTAAATGCAAGCTCACCGACTCGCTCTTTTGGATTCGTCTTCTTTCGACCCAAAAGTGCAGCATGACGTTGATTTTTAGCGTTGCAGATGCCAGTCAGTCAAGGATGTTCACCGCAGCCAAGCGATCCTAGACACACGCACGCACGCACACACACACACACACACGCACACACACACACGCACACACACACACGCACACACAGACGGACTCACAGACGGACACGCGCGCGTGCACGGATTTTCCTGCTCCCTTACACGCGTCGTTACGGTAAAACCCCACCGCAGCCCATTTCAAAGTAAAAGCTTTATCAATTTGATAAAACCTGCATTCCACTTTTACCTGATGTGAACACAAACGGGTTGTATCACAAATAACATCTCCATCCGGAAAGGTTGATTCGAGGCAAATGGACTTTCCGTGTTCATTAAACACATTTCACCTTTCATTTAAAGGTCTTATTCAGGTGTGCAATTAGCATTTTTCTGCCTCTGGTGGGGTTGTTCCCTGTGGATCGTCACAGCAGGATGTTGTTGCCGCATACTAAGTTCACTCACCTAGTGGAAAAACAGTTTGTTCAGGACACTCCCATTTAATTTTTTGTGTATGTGTATTTTCAAAGTCAAATGTGATTTGATACATTACCAATTTTGTGGCAGTGGTGGGAATTCACAAAGCATTTACTTGGCATATTAAGAAAAACGTTTTTCAAGTATCTATATTTATTTGTGTATGTTTTTGGGAGCTTGTATGCTGAACTAGTGCACTGGCTAGAGGAGGTCTGGGGGCACTTGGCCCCTTGAAATATGTTTGGAATCTGCAAGTGCTGGGACAGTTAAACAACTTTTGAGTATTTTCTGGAATTTTACAGGGATTTTTTTTTCCACATTTCCCACGTTTTCTATAGAGAATATAATGAACTTAGATTGTTTTGTAAAGAATTTTGGCAGTTTGTAAAATAAGAATCAATCAAAGGCCACCCAATGATACCCTGAGGATAAAAGTCTGGCTCTGCCACTGAGTCGTGGTGAACACATCTGTCTCATAGTTCTGAGTTCAAGGGCTCACACGTGGGCTGCGACTTTCCTGTGTGGAGTTTTTCATGTTCTCCTAGTGCTTGCATAGTTTTTCCACCAGCTCCCTCCCACATTCTAAAAACATACATGTGCCCAGTGACTGGCTGGCAACCAGTCCAAGGTGTACCTCTTGCCTAAAGTCTGGAGCCCAGATTCAAACACAGAACACAAGAACTGTGGGGCACGCATGCTGTCATTTCCACTTATGATTACCCGTTTACTAAAACTGAAATAATCTGTTTTCATACAACTCGAGACTGAATATGTTGTATTATATGGAATTTGAAAAGTACCATAAAGCTTACGTCATCATGAAGCCACCCGACTTTTGACTATTGCACAAAGTTCCTGCACACTTAAATCAAGCACACTACCTCTGACCCCCATATTTTTATTATTTATGAAAAACACCCAATTTGGTTTCAAGATGATTTCTTTGTGCCACCCCTTGCTTCTTGCTGCAGGATAATGAACTCTAGGATGAGTTTGGCTGTCCGACAAGGCCTCTCCATCACCACAGAGTGGCCACAGTTCTCTAGCAGGTCCACTCTGCATCCTGGCAAGATTTCTGCGATGACTGTGGCACCAGACACATCCATCACCTGGGGGAGAACATTTTTGTTCACATTTATACTGACATCATCCTGTTTCTTGCACTTCCCAGAATACAACTGCCAGAAACAAGTGTTGCAAATAATGTTTGTTCAGTAGCTCATTAAGCCTCACAATGGAGTTTGCGGCGTTTGAATGACAATATTTCTTTTCGTAAGTATCATCAGAGACAATACAGTGTACATATTTTAGCTGGGAAATGGCAAGCTAAGCAGGCTATACTTGTTGGTCCACAGCAGTTTACAGTATGTTCAACTATTAATCGATGGACTTTACCTGGTCCCGTTTGCCCCATATCACCTGTACAGGTGCGGTGATGAGATGCAAGTGTTCCTGTAAAGCATATCTGGATTTCTCACTAATAATCTCGAGAAACACTGTGTAACAAAAGGAAATTCAATTACCAGAGTGTTTGATGATGATAAACCAAACCTTTGGAATGTTCAAATGAACTAACCTTCTTCATAAAAAGAGTTGTGAGGCTCTCGGACATCCACAAGACCTTGAAGAATCTAGACAACATGACCCACACAGCTTGAAATGGTGCAACATATTGAACACTGTTTAAGAGTAGAAATACAGAACCTGACCTGTTGAGGTATCTTAAAGCGAACATGGGAACACAGTCTGAACATGTCTTCCATCTCCTCAGGCGTGGTCGGGATCAGTGGGATATTTAGTGTGTAATTGCTACGTTCCAGATCTTGCAGATGATTATCAAACTTGGTCTCACATGGGTGTTTGATACCTTCAGGATTGACAAGAAATGATGCACACCATAAACGTTTGTTTTAATGGCTACATTTGAAGGAAATCATTGTGTTAGTATAATTGTTTCCCAGGCGGCACGGTAGGCAAATGGTTAGCACGTCGGCCTCACAGGGCAGAGGGGCTGGGTTCGATTCTGGCTCCATCCTCCCTGTCTGGAGTTTGCATGTTCTCTCCGTGCCTGCGTGGGTTTTCTCCGGGTACTTCCGTTTCCTCTCACATTCCAAAAAACATGCATAGCAGGTTAATGGAACACTCTAAGACCCTAGTGAGGATGAAAGTGGTTCGGAAAATGTGGGTGTGGATGGTTTTTCGTCTCTGTGTGCTCTGCGATTGGCTGGCAACCGGTTCAGGGTTTCCCCCGCCTACTGCCTGAAGACAGCTGGGAAAGGCTCCAGCATGCCCCGCGACTCTTGTGAGGATAAAGCGGATCGGAAAATGGATGGATGGATGGATAGATAATATATGAGATCTTTGAGTATCATTTCAGTATCTCGAGGCCAGGCCGTGTGTCCTCTTTTTTAGAGGAATACCAAGCTGCGAACAGAACCCTCCCTAGACCCTGGTCTTGAGGGAGCAAGGGGCACATTTATTTACTTTATTAATCTTGTTTGGCTTCAGATAGGACGTCTCACAATTTCCAATGTGCTCAAGGCATGTAAACATTGTTGTGCCATATTTGTTGCATGTCGTTGAACATTTCAGTGTTGCGCTGGCTTGCTTCGTCGCAATTTTTGCGAAATGAACACAAACACATAACCTCGCTCTGGTTCACAGTCTAAACACACATACACATGCTTCAAGCCTACTTTGCAGCGTTACGGGCTGGGTCGAGATTAGATTTCAATCAAGCAAACTAAATCATGCCATTGTTGTTGTTTTTTTTTTTTTTTAATCGATATTTTTAACGTTTGAGAGCCATGCAGTCACATGACTTCACACAAAGACAAACTCCAGCACTACAGGAGCAAGTTTATCAAAGTGACTCATTTATGTGAAAAACATTTTATATTTATCTTACAGATCGGCTACTGCTCACCTGTGACCTCAATTACATTACTTGCTCTATAAAATGCATGGTTGTGTCCGACTAAAAATGTCCACGTATAAGCTCAGAAATATAAAAGAGCCACTTTTATATTTCTTGGTCTGCGTTTGTAGAATGCAATACTTTGCGGAATCAAACCAGTAGGTCAACCACAGAATCACAGAACATTGATGCAAATTGCAGTTTGTCCAACCCAGTCAGACACGTTCTCTTTTCTTTACTGTAGAAAGGGTTGGGCACATTTGAAAGCAGCAGGTGAAGAAAAACCATTGTGCAGTGTTTGCACCACACTGAAGATAATAATGTATGTTGACATTCGGCATTACTCACGTTTTGAGTGATAAAACATTGCTGATAAATATGTGTCAATCCACCGGTCAAAGGTCAATAGAATCAAACTATACATTAAAATACATAATTAACCATCTCAGCCTGGTGAGCCCACAGTGCCATTTTACATTTGTCAACAAAGAAAGTTCGTTTAAGACACTTTTTACAGCTGAATTTGCCCTCTGTTAATTTTTTTAACAAAATATTGTTTGAAAGTGATATTGTTGGGCAAGATTTGAATTTGCATGACCATATTTTACATTTTTGTCTCATAGACAATAGATTATTAAGAAAAACATCAGTAGTTACTGACTAGTTACTTGGTATTTGAGTGATTCTTTTCCCAGAATACTTACTTTGTCTTTCTGTAGTAATTATTTGACTGACTATTTTTAATTTTTTTTATTGTATAGGTCACAGCACTAACTTTTGAGTACAATTTTTGGCTACTCTACCCACCTCTGCAAACAACAGACATACAGTAAGACGAGTGCATAATATTTAATACAAGAGAGAGTGCGAGTGCGAGAGAGAGAGAGAGAGAGAGAGAGAGAGAGAGAGAGAGAGAGAGAGAGAGAGAGAGAGAGAGAGAGAGGGGGAAACAGATACACACACACTGACCATCTGGACAAATGAGCGTCATGCTGCAAATTTCAGTCGGGTAGGTGGCGGCATACACTCCAGCTACATTTCCCCCCATGGAGGTCCCAACCACATGGAAAGGTTTCCGAGTTAAGCGAATGGTTTCCACAAACTGAGAGGAATGAGGCACCAAAACTGACTTTTAGAGAGGAAACATAAAGCATTACTGTGTTTCCATTGCATTTTATTCAGTGTGTACCTGATGAATCCTCCTGGCCTGCCCCACAATGGAATAATCGTCTGTGTTGGTGCGGGTTGTCCCCTCGTGGCCTGGCATGTCCACGCACACAATGTGCAGATGTTTTGGTAGGTACTGATGCAAAGAATAGAGCTCATTGTATCGTATTTTTAACCAATACACTATTCATGTACACTTCAAAACTGGTAACACCCACACACAAAGGCTGGTACACATCAAAGACCAGACCCCTCTAACTTTTTGGGATAAATTGTTTGGGTTTTACATGAACTCTCAGACATGTCCTTCCAATTTGGACCTCCAACATGGCGGATAAACAAATACAAATACAGATCATGAGATCATAAACTTTTGTCACCGCTCTTCCGGCTGACCTTGACAAGTGTAAGCCAAGTGTCTTTGTGAGCAGAGAAGCTGTGCAACATGAGAACGGAAGGCCTCATTCCAGGCTTTCCTCGGCAGGAGTAACAGAAGCGGTAGCCCCCGCAGTCCGCATAATGGACCTGGAGACCCAGAGTTCTCCTCCAGTACCTGCACAAGAGCGGTAGTGGTCCAATGGAATTTTATAGAGCAAGATTGATGCAGTTTTGGGCATCCAAACATTTTGACCCGTGTTGCGACATCATTCTCAAATATGTGGTAAGAAAAGGTGCAGTTATCAACCTTACCAATAGTAGATTTTAATGAGCGCTGACGGCCACAAAAGGAAGAAAGCGATGAATGCCAAAAGGGGAATAGCCAGTGTACCCCCAGCAATTATGAACAGATTCACAATGTCTAATTCTGCTGCCATTCTTATCCTGGATAAAACACAAAAGTTATCCATGTGAATCACTACACAAATTAAAGGATGCCAGGATAGCTTTAGACTTTTATCAAACGTTCTGCTGAGCGAGAAGTAGGTGATTGCAACACTTTGATTTTCTAAACAAGACAATGATATCAACGCAAAAAAGTGGACTTACTATTCTGGTGATTTTCCTTCCTTGACTGTTGTCACAGGCAGACATACAGGTTGAACTCTGCTGGTTACGTTTAAATCATGAGGTGCTTCAATTAATATTTTATAGTTTAACAGACTGTAAAGTTTAATTTCAGAAATGTACAAAAACTAAATCCCTGTAGTGTGCAGTTATTTCCAGCAGATTATGCTTGCGCAAAATAAACTCATTGATTAATAGTCAGCATCGGGAGGGTGGAGGGGTTGCAGGACTGGGCCACGAGTCGGTCATTCTTTTAAAGTGAACGCACAAGCTGAGCTTTGCAAATTACCGTGGCAAAAATACACAACAGCATATTTGAAAATGTGCTGTTAACAACTTCTTCATCATATTATGATGATTTATATTGACTGTGGATTGTGGACTAATGATTTTAGGATTCAAGTACTAAATGCGCCACAGGGTGTCATGAGAGAGACAAAGTGTGTGTAATTTCTTGACAAGTACTCTCACCTGAGGCACAGGCAACAGCTCCCAGAGTGTACCACCTCCAACACAGTTGAGGTCACATAATAATGTTTCAAAAATTACATATTTGCATAATTCTATTTTTTAAGTGTGCTTGTTTCATGCTCACAATCACTTCAGAAATTTGAGGAGCAAGTGCTATGATGCAGCTGTATGTGTCGGGGGATCTTGCATTACATGATGAATGTTTATATTATGACAAAGCTGTTCATATTGGTGCAAATCATTACGTGCAAGCTACACAGCTCAGAATTAGCCTGGACCCTCTGATAGCGTGCAGAGCTGGCATTCTGCTGCAACCCTGGACCTCTACTGATGACCTACATACAGAACAAATTGGAGCAGAACAAATGGATAGAGATGCTCACACAGCCGGGGAATTTTTCTTATATTTTGGTCTGTCAAGTATATTTAGATAGTTTGCATCATGTCATTCCACAAACTGTGCCGGTCACTTTAGCTAAATCCACAACCTGGCTGCCACATGGCATAATGACAAGGATCATTCAAAAGCGACCGGCCCTGCCAACATGGCGTGCCAACGAAGTGAACAGCAGCGGGGCATGGTGAGTGATGACGTCGCGGAGCAGTGAGACATCTGAATTTTATCAACGAACGCGTTATCCTGTTGAAAAAGGCTCGACTTCCTCATCTGCAGACTTGCCGTTAGTATGAGTGCTGTCCACTTTGTGGGAGGGACTGCACCAAAAGCACAGCTCTGTCATTTCAGGGCAGAGCCTCCTATCACCGCAGCTGTTGCCTGAACTCAATTTGTCTGACCTCGGAAAGCAACCAGCCAAATTGATCATACTTCATGAATGAAAGGAAGAAAGGAATCCTGCATCTTATATGTGGCATTAACAAGACAATCCACTGATTTTAATTGCAAGAACCCTGGCAATATTGCAGTTGTCCTTTAAAAATGTTTAATTCCAGGATTAAACATAATATTGAACACTGACAACAAAACAACAGGCTTATAGTGTCTGGGGACGAGGAGAGGTCAGATATTCCATTCGCTTTAACTGGAATGAAGGGTTGTGGTCACAGTGCTCTGGCAAGCTCGCAAGCAAGACATTTTAACATGGCAAGGAGTCCTGAAGTGTGAGTCATGAAATCCATGTTAAAATATGAGACATCTAAATACAAAGCATTGGTTAAGAAAAAGGCGTGCTCACTCGATTTATACAAATGCCCAAAATGTTCAGAAGACAGCTTATGACGACCGTGGTTTCCAGGTCAGGTCAAGCCAAAGTTTATTCTATGACAGATGTATTGCCTTTTTCAACAGTTCATTGGGGTTTAAAGTGGACTGGATGTTTTGGCAGATATAATTGACGGGCCTTTTTCAATAAGGACTTCGCAAGAGTGGAAGATGAGCAAACTCCATTAAGATAGCAGTCTTCTCCGATAGCAGGATTTCAAATACAGAACATACGGTATATATTGTGTGACACTAGTCCTGGAACTTCTTTGACGCGTCATAAACCGTTTGTGTAAAGTGCAAGTGCTTATATTTGTTGGCCAATGTGTGATGTTGTGTCAGTTTGTGCTCCCGTGTTATTTAGGTTGTTTATGTAACATGGGTTCATGATTGTGTAGATGCATAGCGGCGACGCTTTGCTGATTAGTCTTTCCTTTTTTTTTGGGGGGGGGGGCGTCAATTTGGATTTTTAGGGGTTTGCTGTCTTTGCTTGTTGTGCTTCACTATTTTTTCTCTCTCTCGCACTCTCTTTTTTTTTACTTTATCAAAATGCCTTCTTATTAAAAAGCTTGTAGTGAGGGAATTGGCAGTTTCTCTGCCTCTGACTTGCTAGCTATGCAGGGCAAAGTGCTGACATTTTCAAGCTAAACAGTAAGAAGAACTGCACTGTCAGCACAGCTTTGCATTAGCTAACAGCGCTTATTAGCATTAGCTTCTAACAGCTGCCACATACTTGAATGTTCAGCGAAGTTATCTTTGTGTCGTCATGCAAGAACAGATCTACAGCACTAATTGAAAGGGGTAAGGTGAAAATCTGAATCGGCTGCTGTTTTTTTTTCTTCACAATCAGGGTCAATTTATTTATTTTTTTTATCTTTTGTGGATTTTGATTCGAAGAATCTGGGAACTGTTTCTAATTGTGAAAAAAATGTCTCTGTTAATGGGTTGTTAATTGTTTATGTTTATATTTTGTGCAGATGTGCCTAATTCTGGTGAAGCTGCCATATATTTATTCATGACACTAATCAAAAGGTCACTTTATTGACAATGTTTATTGTGCTGACAACTACACCCACACACTATCTTTTGGGAGGCCTGAGCTGTAAATAAGCCTTCCAAACTATTATCTTATATAATAATTACAATTAGAGTGTAGACAACATTTACATTCATGAATGGACACCTTACAGCTCAAAATTTGCCAAAATATATACCACTAATATTTTGCAAACATAAACACTCAAAGAACTTTAATGAGCACAAGTGCCGATTGAAATAAACATTGCAAGATATTTAAACAGTGTTAAGTATGACTCCTAATGAACAGTGCAGATAAGAGTATGTGTCACGCAAGACAGTTTCAGTGTGGAGAAATCTTATGACTAAGTTCGCTGTGTGCATCTATATGTGTGAGCCATGTATGTGTGTCCCTCAGGTCTTAAAGAGTGCAGCAGCAGTCACAGCTGTTAGAGCCACAGCAACCACAGGCCCCCAGATCATCCACAGCTTCTGAAACAAGCGATGACACAAACATGGAAACATGAGCGTCACCATGTGAAAGCCTCCCTCTGGCAGACGCATCAATGGAAAGAGACCAAGGCGGTGCAACAGAGAATGCCAGTTATAAAGATGGAGATGAGCTCATCCAAAGTCGCTGGGAGAAAAGCTTGTTAGAGTCCAGACATAACAAACAGATGTCACATATTGAAGCTGGATGATTAGAAAGGTTAAATTTGCCGTGGACCGGATTTTTTTTTTTGGCCAAAAGGAAGGCATTGGGGACGGGGGCGGTACCAAAGCCATGCAGTGATCTGGAGGACATTGATGAGCATGATAGATGTGGGCAGGAGTAACGTATACCTTACTACCACAATGCGCCGAAGCACCATAACAGCAAAGCCAGGACAAGGCCGATGACTATGGCTTGAACAGGCAGCATTAGGGATGTCTACAGAAGGGAAGTGATATTATAATAATCAACTATGTACTATGGGACATAATATTAATTAACACAGGTACACCCTTCAGTAAGTAGAGTGTTTTTAATGGGATTCACACAGCTGTCAATGTTGTCAAGCAACAGAAAAAAACACCAGATGAGAACAGAGTGGTTCTGAGACTGACATTATTCCAATCATACAAATGGTGGAATTATTTGGCCACAGAGAACTGACCAAAAAAAAAAAAAAAAAAGTCAACAGACATTTTATGTTTGGTAGGTGGTAAAAGCCCAAAGCAAAGCTCCTGCTCAGGGCAAAAGTCATGTATTGTGCAAATAACTGTGATAGAGCTGCTTTTTAGATTCAAGATTCAATCTGTCATATGACAGAGTAGAATTTTCGCAAAAGCCACGTAACTGAGTGAGGTGGAGCAACACTCACCTTTGTTCCTCTCTCCTGTAATTCCTTCATGTTGGCTTTGCACTCCTCCAGTTCATTCAAAAGTGCATGCTTCTCCTGCTCAGTCTTCTCATAATCTTCCTTTAGGTCAGTCAGTTCCATCTTGGTCTCCTCATACTATATAGAATAAAACAAAACTTTACCCAAATATTACATATAAATAGCAAACCCAGCCGCTGGGGAGCAGTGCCCTCCCCTGGGGGTACACTGTTCCCCGGTGCCGGTCCCAAGCCCGGAGAAATGGGGAGGGTTGCGTCAGGAAGGGCATCCGGCATAAAACTTTTGCCAAGACGGACATGCGAGTTGATAGGGCGGTTTGCAGGGACGGACGGGAATTAATGACTCGCTGTGGCGACCCCTGAAAAGGGACGTGCCGAAAGGGGAAGAAGAAGATTACATATAAATAGCAAAGTAAGAATAACTGAGAATTTTCCAATGGCGGAATAAATTATTTCCAGTGCTGGATTTTCGATTAAGGTCAATCAAAAAGGATGCAAATAGCAACAATATTTTGACTACACCCAACCAATTCTTACTCTGCCCGTGCCTGCGTGGGTTTTCTCCAGGTACTCTGGTTTCCTGCCACATTCCAAAAACATGCATGGCAGGCTGATTGAACACTCTCTAAATTGTCCCTCGGTGCGAGTGTGAGTGCGGATGGTTGTTAGTCTGTGTGTGCCCTGCGATTGGCTGGCAACCGGTTCAGGGTGTCCCTCCAGCAGCCTCCCCGCAACCCTTGTCAGGATAAGCAGATAGGAATATATATATATAAAATCCGTGAGTTGTAGTTGCACTGTGAGTTGTAGTTTTCTGTAATGACGGGCGCTTAATTCACACAAATGGCCAAAGTGACATCATTTGTCCGAAGTGAAATGGCCTTGCATATTTTAAATGCTAATTTTGGTTAGGAAGAATTGTTAAGTAAATACTGATATGCTTGTGGAGGCTCTCAGTCGTACAGGAAAGTTCCATCGTAGAAAGGGTTCCGACGATTGACGGAACCCTTTCTACGATAAATACTGATATCTACTTTTTGACCAGGCTGTTTCTGGAGATTGTTGCAGAAAAGTTACTGAGGTGGTGAGCGTTTCACTTGAGCTTTTCACAGACAACTGGTTTCTCCTGATCAGCAGGACACTTGAGATTTTGACAAATACAAGGTGATCCACTGGTCTGTGCCATTCTCTTTTTTTTGTAATCCCTCAAACAACAATAGTTCATTGCAGCTTTCTGTTAAACTCCAGTGAAAGGGAGTGGATTGTCCACGCATGCTCATGCAGCCTGCTAAACCTGCCAGTCTGCTTTTCAGGATTACTTCACTAGATGACAAAACTAGTAGTGCACGTTCGTTTGGAACATCACACATTATCTGTGTTGTTGACTCGTGACAGTCCCTGTTTATTTGTTATCGATTGTTGGTGCCAGATACCACTATGTTGAGAAATGAAATCGAAAGTGTTAATCTTCATATTATCACATGCTACTTGGTCCCATTGGTACGTTAAATTCCACGATATTGTTTGAACATAACCACTTTGTCTAACTTTGTGACAAAAATAGACTTCCATTAGAGTGAAATCATCACATCACATTTCATTCAGTCCTATACAAGCAAACAGGTGGCTGGGTGTGTGAGCGTCATCATCATGCTCGCAGTTAAATGCATAATAGTTTTAAATACTGCATCCTTGTTGCTGCACCTACTGAACCTATTACAAAACTACGCTAGCCTCTAAAGAGACTCAACACTTCCCAAGTCAATCAAATGATTCATAAATACTTTACACTGTATGGCATGAGGATGAAAAAAGCCTCAGGTGAATTCGGGGTGCTTTTATGTTTGAGGCTCACGTTTTGATTGGTGAGATGGCTGGAAAGTTAATATGTTACAACTTATCATTTAAAAGGCATTTGGCACAGAGAGTAGGTAATTAGTTTGCATCATTGACTCCCAAACTATATTAGCGACAAACAGTGACAGGCAGAATATCTAAATGAACTAACCTATGTATATCCCTTTTTGTGAAATTTGTTTAGAGGTTTTTCTGATGTAAAGTACAGTATGTGTCTTGACTCACTAAATGTTGGGAAACACTGGCTTAGATGAATTAAAGCCCACCTTTTTCTGCAGGGTCTCCTTGTTGTAAGCTGCCTCATCCAGTTGGGTCTGTAGCTTGCTGCTATCCAGTTGATGTTGAAGCTCCAAAGCTACCAGCTTCTTTTCCAGCTCCTGCTGAGATCTCTCAAGGGCTTTCAGGCTGTTGCTCAGGTCTGCATTCTGGGCACGTGAACTAGCAGCAAAGAAGGAACAAATACACACACTCGTTTCAACAGGAGGTGGATCACAAGTATGAGCGACATGATATACAGTCAAAGCAAATCAGACAGTTGAGCATGTCACAAAACAGGGTTGGTGTTTTGAACTCTGAACACGCTTGTACTAGTGACATCATGTAGAAGACGGACTTCGCTGTTGTGCAATGGAATCCCCAAAACTCACAAAACTGAATGTTTGGAATTAACATTGACAAATGGCCAACTCATTGAAACAATGAAATGCAGACTGAGACAAATACATGCAAGATGGAGCACAGCAGCCAGCAGCAAATTACTGGGTTGACTTTGATTGGTCCTCTGAGGTTGGAGGTCCATATTTCATGAGTTGCAGGAAAATTGTTCCTGCAATGACCAAACAGGCCAATTAAAATGTTCTTCTGATAAGTACTGACCTGACAAGCTCTTTCTCCAACTGCTGCAGCTTCTGCTGCATCGCCTCATTTTTAGCACACAGTGCTGTACTTTTTTGCTCCCAGTCGCCCTTCTCTTTCTGATGGGCCTTGTGGAGTTCCTCTTTCTCTGTCCTGAGGGAAGTGAACTCACTTTGCAGACTGCCCTTTTCATTCTGATGCTTATTCACTAATTCCTGTTTCTCCAAGCGCAGACTAGAACACTCCTTCTGAAGTCCGTTACACTCCATCTGCATGGACTGCAATTCATTGGCTGTTAAAAGCAAACAAAAAACCAAAATACAAATTAATGTACTGAATTAATATCTATTTATCTGGTTGTGTGAAGCACACTGAGTTGCCTTGTGAATGAAATGTGCTATATACATAAAGCTGCCTTGCCTGTCTATCCATCTGACAATAGGTATTTATGTATCCACCCATCTATCTTCAAACTCAAGATGGCACAGTGTCTTGAGTTAACACATTGTTGTGTTTTTGTTATTTTAATTGGGAATAAAAGCATTCTATAATATTGCATTAAAAAATAGAGTAACAACATAATTAACTACAATGCGAAACATTAAGCAGTTTGTGGATTATGATTTCATTGCATGCAATCCAGTTCAGTGTGCTGTTGCTTCTGGTGTGCCTGCCCTGGCCACCAGGAAGCAGTCATGTGTCAGACAGACACAAAGGAAGAAAAATATATTTCTTCAACTACTACTCAGTAACTTTCTGTAATACGAGTCATTTTTTCATAGAGGATAAAGAATAGATGCCTGTGGGTGTTGTTATATTTTCTGTCGACTTGGTTGTTCCACGATTTGTGTTCAAACATCAATTGCTTAAAGGGTTGTAAAACCGCAACTATCAATGATAACCAATAGCATGTCAATGCAAACTTATAATATGTGTTAGCAGAGGTGAGCAATTTACACAATTTTGCCGGTCCGCCATTCGTCAGTGGCCTGTGCACCCATTCATCATCGTCCGCCAAACCAAATTGTAACCGTCAGTCAGTCAGTATGTGATGTTACTTTAATCACGCTTCTGTCAATAAATTTAATCGGCCCCTAGGTGCCTCTATAATCAGGCCCCCTCCCTGCCTCCCGCCCCCCCAAAAATTGTCATAGCTCAAAAGATGAAAAATCTGTGTGGCGTTGTCATCTTCTTCTTCTTCTTCTTCTTCTTCTTGGCTCATTGAGGATTACAGCTCTTTGGTACATACCGCCACATACAGGAAGCACAAAGCGTTTCCTTTTACAGTCAATGGAAGCAACCCTAATTGTATTCAGCCCCGCCAACAAACACCAGACAGGTGGCGTGCGTTTCTGTCACTTGTCAGCAAAACGGGCGTCTGTCAGTGACGAACTTATAGGTCCGTCGATATTTAAACCGGTTCCTGACAATTTCAGTGACGGATGAAAATCCTCTTCCGTCTGTCATTCTTTTTAAGTGTCTTGTCATTCGTGAGCAAAACGGGTGTTCGTCAGGGACGAACTGACAGACCTTCTGTCAGTACTGACGGAATGCCCACCTCTGGGTTTAAATATACAACATGTACTTCTCTTTGTTTCATGTTTAATTTGACAGTAAACTTACACTAGGTGTGTCAGATAGCCTCAAGCCTCTTTTCTGATGAATTGTTCACTATTTACCAAACTGTTGCTTAATGTGAAATGACTTGTATTTATTTTATTTCCCACATACAGCGATTGTATCTTGTTTGCCTGCATATCTTACATCAGCTGAATGATGACTTGTGTTCAAAAAATGTCGGGTCACCCACTTTTTGAGACACAACTCTGTAAAAATATGAGTATGCAGATTTAGATTCTAGGAAATGTGTAGTCTATACATAATGCATCATACACGAAGCCACATTTAACATGAGACGCTCTGCATTTCATTTGATCAGCTGTTTCATCAGAAATAATGATACGCTGCAGCCTGTCACATGGAAGGATAATTTTTGGCCTCACTAATATAGCATGAGAGTATTTATATTAATAGCAATACTTCAAATGATCTGGTATGACAAAGTGAATTTGCAGTCTGAAGTACTGTACCTTGTATTTCTGCAGTTTTTTGCCACTGCTTGCCCTGCTGCTGGAGATCCCGCTGTAGGTCATCAATCTCACGCTCGTATTTGCTGGCAGTCTGACGCCATTTTTCCAAATCTTTGGAGACGGTTGCTAGGTTAAACTCGATTGCACTTAGGTCACGTTCCCGCTCAGCGGAAGCTGCCTCCAGGATTCGTTTCAGCGATTTCACCTCATCGCGTGAATTTTGTAGCTCATCATGTAAACTAGAGGAGACATCTGTCTGCTCTCTGAGGACATCCATCTCATCTTGGAGCTGTCGCACTTGGCCTGTTCAAAGAATGTTCATCATATAAAATAGTGGGAACATTATATTAAAATTTTGCTTGATAGAAGGTATAATTGCAGTTTGGCTTCTTAATTTGACAGACACAACTGCTACCGAATATCAAATGGCTCCTATTATATACCTTGAAGAAATTTGATCTGTTTTGCAGAATCATCAGCTTGTTGTTTCTTGTCCTTTTTCTCTTTATTGAGGATACCTACAAAGCATAAGATAAAATTTTATCTCTGGCTACCTGTACTTGATCTGAAAAAAAAAAAGACTACAATATTTATTTAGCACAATTTTTACCTTCTAGCTCCATACATTTGTGCCTCTCTGTGTTGGCCTGATCCTGAGCCTTTCCAAGTTCATCGTTCAAGCGCTGGATTGTTTTTTCATAGTCGCTTGGGGACCCCATATTTGTCCCTGTGAGAAAGTGATAAAGAAGAATGGTTATCCAAAATCAAAACAGCTATTCTAACAAGAGAGTGGTCGGTCGTAAATGTTAACATTCCTATCTTCCCACAAAAGGCTGTGGAATGTTGAGCCTGAACATTTGCCGGGGTCATAACGAGGAAGCAAAGATGGCATTCAGTGTCATCATAAAAATAGAAGGGTAACTTAAAGTCCTTCCAAGTTAATTCTGCTTCAGTCCCAAATATTTAACTAGGGCTGATGCGTTAGTTGATTTCCCAAGCTATTAAAACATGCCCATTATATAATCTAATTGCCGACCCAGAAAGGAAAGGGGTTCCATTATATGCATTTCCTAGTCGCTCTGTCATTCAAAACTGTTTACAAGCTATGTCATTACCACAGCTACACTACCTTACAGCAGCACACTGTAATCACCAGACAAGAAGAATAAACTATCTGAGGCTGTCAAAGGCCTGTTATGTTTTTTGTTGGGTGAAAACAAGGGCTGGAAATACTTGGTGGTTTGCACTTCCCAGTGAATATCTTGATCCACTAATCTGTGGTGGCTAGAAAAAGACGTGACCTCATCTTGGGCCGAGCATTTGGCAGAAGAGAAAAATGAGTCACAACATTTTAAAGCATGCGCGCCATAAAAGGACGCATCTGACAAGTGTGCTGCAGTATTTGCCACAGAGTCTCGCTGTATGCCACTCTCGCATTGCTGTCTTAATGCACTGTCCATTTCCACCCACATATACATTCAAAGAGGCGCCCTTGGATGGCACCAATAAATCCAAGGCAACCAAGTAACTACTGGAGGCTGGTGGCACGCTCCAACTCAAGCGCATGACCACTCCGCTGTGTGCCAGACATAGGCCAGGAGCTGAAATGTGTCCTATTTTTTTGCGCGTTCCAATATGCATGCATATTTATAAGGGAGAAAGTGAGTGGGTGCCCTGTGAATAGGGTGGCCTTTGTCAAGTTGAGAGAAATAAAATGAAAAGAGAGAAACACAAAACTATCAACCACAATCTCTTTAGCCGCCATGACCCATCATAGCTTGGGTGTCACACAGTCCAAGTATTAATGGGATTAGAATGTACAAAAATACCTTTTCGCGAGATAGGATACTGAGCATCATGCTGCGTGATGACAAAAAAAAAAAAGTCGTGGAATTTCTTTTTTTAGCTCAAGTGCTGAAGGCTAAAGTCATGATGGCCCAGCTACTCCCCTGCCGCTTTCCACCCCAATGAATGAAACAGCCTGTATTCGATATGGCCCTGCTGGATAAATGTATACAGAATTACATAAATCGGTTGACAATGCAGATAATATAATAATCAATGTATGTACAATTGGGTGGTGACACATTCTTAAAATTGGTCCTGGAATGACAAAAACACTGCTGTGAGGATGCCACAAACACTCACTATGTAGCGCAGTGACAGTGAAGCGTAACAAATACAGTCCTCGTGTAAAATGAATCCACTTGTGAATCTTCTTGAAAGTGGTGTCATAACACTTCACCATGACTGCATTATGCTCTGCATTTTATTTTGATTGTCCATTTTAAATGTCACTGGTTACTCTGCTGACACGTTCTCAGGTCAAAGAGACTCTTCTAATAGAATAGGCTGTTGACACAAGAGACACTCAAACAAGGACATCAGCTTGTAAAGTCATGTAACTGCCTCCCCTGAAGGTTGTCTAAGTGATTCTTCAGACCAGGTTAGAACCATAGAAGACCGAAACGGTTTCATCTAATTCATGTCTGTCCAAAGAAAGCAAAAGTATTCGTAGTTACCTTTTATCACTGATATGTTGTTCAGGGGATCACTCAACTCCTTCTTTTCCATTACCTTATCTGTAAAGAAGCATGCATGCAGATTATATCAAGACAAAATACATGGAGCAAAAAACAAACCACAGTGGGTGGTTAAAGATTTGAAATAGACTAACAATAATCCAACGGTGCGTGCTAATTCACGAACAAGATAGGAGCACAGTGTGTATCACGTTAAAACGTGGTAAAATAAATTGAAATTGGCAAACATAAAGTTACCTCAATTAATTTAGGCCCCGCAGTTTGGTATTGCTCAGTGTCTACACCAGTGCTTGACAGAACTCTTCTCTAACTATCAGATTTTTTTCAGATGCAAAACGGAATAGTCCAACCAGCGAGAGTTCAGGGGGCTCTGCACATGACACTTTAGTGGCCAATCTCACCAACATTGCTACATCGAAACCGCAAGCAACAAAAATGTGGTCCAAAGGTAAAAAAGTAGAGATATTAAGTCTGATTCAAATGCAACAATACTGGTCCGGGAAAATAAATATTCATAAAACCTGACACCCCCTGTATTTTGTGGTCGCATTGGCCTGCCCCTCCGCACTAGGTCACGCATCTGAGTCCCGGCCAGCATCACGGAAGCTGCAGCTGCATACTGACACTGAGAGGTTTTGTTTAGAGAGCTGCGCTGTGGCCAACTGCTGCTGATGTAAAAGGCCAGAGAATATGGACTACTGTTCTCCATACATTGTACGATGCAAAACTATAAAAGCAGTCATAACAGACACAAATTATTCTGCTCTGGGACATTAAAATATAATGTCTTGCATCTTCAAAAAAAAAAAAAAAATCTATGCATCAGTTGTAAAACAATGTCATGGTGGCATTGTAAAATTTAAAGTTTCATCACGTATATTCCCCCAAAATATGCCTCTAGATGTGAAGTTTAGTGTCATCTATAGCAGTGGTTCATAACCAGTGTGCCATGCATTTATAGAATAGTACAAATGATATAGGTTTGTTCATCTATCTTTGCCACCAACATATCGTGACAGGCAGAAGAAGTCAATATACTTCCAGTGCATGGCAGAAAGTACATAATTAACCATTGTATCCACTTTTTGAGATATTTTCGTTTGGTTGGTGTGCAGTGAGATGTTTTTTTTCTAATGTAAACGATGTGCTTTGGCTCAAGAAAGAATGGGAAACACAGCTTTAAATGACTTAAAACACACCTCTTGCTTTCTGTCTCATCGGTGTTTTGCTTTTTTTTTTTTTTGTGATGTCACACAGTGACGTACAATGAGGATGCTGACTGGTGAAGCACTGACACCTCAGGCAGTCGGATATAAAAATTTAAATCCAAAAAGATTTTAACCTTAAATGAACGATTTGTTTCAAAGCTTTGAATTATGTTTCACTCAATTCCACACTGCACACCAATCTGGATAGCATGAAAAACAAAAGAATGTTTAATATAAGGTGACTGTACTTCCTCGGGAGAGCATCAAACAGCTGCAGCTCATCCAGAATGCTGCAGCTTACCAGAACAAAGCAATCAGAATATATTATTTCAATCCTAAAGACTTTACACTGGCTCCCAGTCAGCTGTAGGAGAGATTTTACAATTATGCTTCTGGACTATAAATCATTGAATGGCTTAGGTCCTGAATACATTAAAGAAATGCTCATGGGCAATAAAGATAGTAGGGTTCTGAGGTCAGTAGACTTGGGTCAATTAGTGGAGCCAAGTGTTCAAAGCAGACATGGTGCAGCAAGCATTCAACTGTTATGCTGCACGCAAATGGAATAAACTGTCAACAGAAATAAAGTTAGCCCCCCCCCAAGCGTAAATGCTTTTAAATCCAGGTGAAAAACTATGCTTTCCCCGCCCTATACCAATGAATAACATTTTTAAAGCAATTCTATAATCATTTTTTTCTCATGCTGTACATTCCTTCAGTTATTTTAGTAAACTGCTTTTTATTTTGCTACTTTACTTTTAAATGTCTTTTAATTTTTTTTTTGTTTTAATGTATCACATTTTCTTACCTTTAAATTTTGTATTTTGTCTTTCAAAATTGTTTTGCAACTATGTGAAGCACATGAAATGCACTTTATCAATAAACCTGCCTTGCCTTGCCTTATTAGATGTTTAAGAAATCAGCAGAGGAAAAACAACCCAATCAGAGACAGAATTCGTTCTTTGTTTTGCTGTTCCGTGCTTTCTACCATCTTTGTTACCGAATTGTTGCTTTACTGTTGTATATGTTAGTTGCTCCATGTACAGCACTTGGTATGCAGCGATGGCTGTTTGAAAGTGCTCTATGAATACAGTTGAGTTGAGTTGAGTTGAGAATGAAGTGGAAGCTATTAGTAAAGTGAAGCCACATTCAAATCTTGCTAGCAGTTTTAACACTGCAAACTCCTCCTTTTTAAATACCTATTACAAACAAAGGTGTCATTTTTCACAAGCAATATGTGTTGAAGATAAAATTCTGTGCCCAGTTTATAGCAATGACGTAATTACAAATCTCAAGGCGTGTTGTGTTTGGTACCTGTTGACTGTCAGAAACACAACACTGTCCACAGAACCAATAAAGCAACATTCTGAACACTAAAAGGTTCAGCATCATGCACTGGATTTTATATGACTCAGGGGTTTCCATGTTATATTTGGTGAAATTCAATTATTCATTTCAAACGCATGAATGACACAGCACCAATAGAAAGAATAGAAAGAAGCCTTTATGGGGAAATTGACACCTCATCAGAAGAACAACACACCGTGATGGACTTTTGCTGTCAGCAAAAATAATGACACCTTGCAAAATAGATGGAGGATTACCTTCATTTGCAAAAATAGGTAACTGTAAAAGACAACAACTGATTCTATGAAGTGGTATTGGCACCATGACAGCGGCATCCCTGCTGAAAGAAAAACAAACAATTGCTCACCACTGCAGTGACCAATTGAGGAAATAGGGGGACATTTAAAAGTTGACCCAAAGTGTGAAACGTGAGATCTCATGACCTCAACAATGTGAGATGTTGAATGGTGATATGTCATCAGATTTCACACTGCGACCTTGCCCTCGGCAGGACAAGATCCTCATGAAACAGAGATTTAGGAAGAGACCTTACTAATCATTGACATAGCTCAGTCAATCATCAACTATTTCAGCCTCCTCTATTTTCAGCGGATTTGCACATTATGTTTGATTTCTCAGTGAAGTAAAACCTACCTGCCATTATAACAAATACGATTTTTCATTAGAACTAAAAAGGAGCGACTGCTTAAAATGAACATAAACTCATTTGTAGTAAAGATTAAAGGACTCCAGTGCGCTCTTTTTATCCTTCAACAAAAACCCACTGACGGGAGGTTTTTGTCTGATTATAGATGGATTTCACCGTTGAACATTTGAAATCACTGACAAAAAAAATCAATTATGCAGAACACGTCAATCAAAACCCCAATACCCATTGCACAACTTAATTAACAACTTAATATTTCATTTATCTCCTTTAAGGAACCTTGGCACACAAACTAAAATGGAATGGTTGATGTACTTTTATTTGCTGTTGTATTCAGTTGTCTAATGGCTTCTTTGTCACATTTGGAAATCTCATTTCACTTTTCAATCACATTAGCTGTCAGCACATTTCACACCAACTACCTTTTTACTATTAAACAGTCGCGGGAGCTAACAAATTACAAATAGTATTTATTTGATTTTAGAGGACTCTGTTGTTCACTTGGGGATTTAGTTTTCTGACCACTTTTCATTTCTACTCTTTTCATTTTAAAACATATACTGGATCTGTACTTTTGACTTCTGACTTTGTCAAAATAGGTTTGTTACTTTTTTCAACTTCCCATGTGATGACATAATATCAAATAAATAAATAAATACATACATACATACATACATACATACATACATACATACATACATACATACATACATACATACATACATACATACATAAGAGCAAAAGGTAAGTTAAATTGCATTTGCAATCTTGTAGTCTTATCAGGTTGAAAAAAATAATATGGACAGCAGCCACATGGAGGAATGAGAACCAAGGAGCAAAAACAAAGATGGCACAAGAGATTCAAAGAAGGAAGAGATATTCCCAATTCATGACCTTACTTGAAGTACTGTTTGAAGCTGTTTGTGATAAGAATGTTTTATAGCGATTCAAATGTGTTGTCTCAGCCATTGTAAAAACCACCACCTTCCACCAGCATTCAGATTTTTGGGCTAATCTGACAAAAAAAGTACACATACAGGCTAGGTGTATATTGGTGGCTTCATAGCACAATTACTTAAATAAGAAAGCAACAAATTCAAGACTAGGTGACCTATTTTCATGCCCAAAGCAAGTCTAGCACAAAGTCCAGTCTTAACTGTGTTCATGGGTGGAGTTTTCTTTCTTTTGGTATTTTCATAGAGGGGCACAGTTAGAAATGGGTGTTTGCGCCGTAATGGGAATGAACAGAGTCGACTTGATACCCAGTCAATCAAAGCGTCTCTCCTCGTTCACTTGCAGACGTGCGGTCTACATACCAGAAGCATAAGAAATTCGTTGGAGTCTGTGCAGGAGATGGGGACCTACAAAATATGTTTATAAGGAACTGCAAGAAAGGCTCCATTTGTGGATGATACAAAGTTGACCACTACAGGGCAGGCATCTGCCGCCTTCCACTTCGGATCCATTTATCTGCGTGTGACAAATTTGCACAGATATTTATGCACCTTTTTATTCAATTTCTGTTGTTGTTGTCTGAGTAGTCCCTTTTCTAATTTGCACACTAATTTGTCTGAAGTGCTTTGTTCGACCAAATAGACCTCTGATTACTCAATTTATATTTCACAGTTTGTGAGGGTGTTTATGCTTGTTTTGACATACATCTGATGTAAAATAAGCTTTTCATATACTGCTCTTTGTGTTTGGATTCTAATGCTAGTCATGACTGTAATTGGTGAAAATTGTCTCATCAGAATTTCAGATGAGGTAACGACTTCTCTGTATGTTATGGTATGCTACACATAATCTGATAACAGTAGTCAACGTTGGTGAGAATCTGATTATCACTTTCTTTCGTTCACTACCAACACATTCACTTCAGTACCCTGGATTCTTTCTCTCATTTGCACTCATTTTCACCTCTCTGTGTTCGGCCACACGCCTCAGGTGTCATTTGTTGTTGTTCTGTGTCATTGGTTTGTGTGAGGCTGCTCACTTGAGGTGTCATTTTGTGTTTTTCTCTGTGACAATGGGGCTCACATCAATGTTTGGTGTGTATTGGTTTGCGCTGTTCTGTACCAGGTCATCATCATCACTAGTGAGTGATTGTTTGTATTTCCTGCTCTGCTCGTGCTTTAATCAAACTTCACCCGACCTGTGTTTCTGCACTTTTCCACTGTCTGGCACAAACACCAAATAGAGAGGGCTAATTTTTTCAAACCGAACAAAGACTTTCTCCTCAAATTTGGTGTCTAGTTTCCTATTTTCCTTTGAGATAAGCAAAAAAATTGGAAATAAAATCTCTGCATTTCATTGGGGTTAGGTTGTTTCACTGTCAGCATTTGGTATTCTGTCTGTTTTCTTTGATTGTTGAACAATGCGTTTTTCAACACTGCTGCTGTCTGCACTGTATCGATCCATACTTTCTTTGATAAACAACTCAATTAGCATGCACTTCGGCTTGTCACGCACTTTGCACCAATTGCATCCAGCTGGACCTTTTTGATGTGATGTTTGATTTTTATTTTTGGTACCGGTAAGCAATTTTTGGTAGTTTGAACACATAAACTCTGTTTTGTGTCAGATCTGATAAATAAGGTCTTTCCATGTGGGGCTGTATCTGCCAAGGAATTTGCACACAGAAGTTGCAGTTGTAGGACACCCCTTCATCTATGATTAGTGAAGAAGATGCCCCGAAACTTATCATCAATTGGGGGAGAGGTAGCATAATGATAGTTCTGTGGATGCGCCGTCCACCAGCTAAGCATTTCAGTTGACCACCGACTCAAAGCTTTAGCCATTGGTTTAGTTGGATTTATCCTCATCAGATTTGCGGTACGCTGTGCCTTCTTGCTGGTGGTTAAATCCTGGTATTACAGTTGGGGTATGGGCTTCGTTTAGTTCCTTGGCTAATAACCTGTTGGAAGAGAGGCACTGCACAGCAGCATTATTGCGTCCGACTATTTCCAGGATCAAAAAACTAACAATCTGATAATAATGTATATTGCTATAATGATGGAGGAATCACAACCGACCAGTCTTGTCTGCCATGATGGAAGTAATAAATTTATTACACAGTCACAAAGCAAAAAAAAAAAAAAAAAAAAAAAAAACTGCTTATGTTACAAACCAACGAACCAGCAACAGACTGTATGTGAGACTTGAGCACATTTTATATTTCCATGAACTTGCCGCAGAACTACAGTACAGAGTAAGTACTAGTCAAAACACAAGATATAGCCAGGTTAGCAAGAAGCTAAAGCCAGGTCGACGAAGCCAGCCGTTCGCTTGTACGGTGACTTGACGGAGTGGGCGGGCGGCAGGCAGCTTCCTGTGAGCACAGTGTGAGTGACTTCACTGCTGTGGAGGGCGGCCGCTCGCTCTGGAGCGTCATTGAAAGTTTTTGCGGTGGGTGTTGCCTTTTACGTGTCAAGCTAGCCGCCTTGCACCGTTCACATTTATGAGTTAAGCGTCGGTAATGCCTACTTAGCGTTAACGCTGATCTTTTGGAAGGAGGTGGGAGCGTAACTTTTGCGACTTGGACAACGCTGCCTTACTCGATTGCAAGTGCTGCCCCGTTGCTCCCCCAATGACTTCCTCGTTCTCAGCCTGGTTTTGGAGCGAGAGATTTTGGCTTCCCGAAAATGTTTCGTGGGCGGATCTGGAGCATCCACCACCTGGCGTGGAGTACCCTCGAATGGGAGACATACTGTACGCCTTTCCGCTGTCTGTCGGGATTTTTGTGCTGAGGATCTTGTTCGAAAGGTAAAACTCGAGGCGTGTTTGGCTCCTTTTCTGTCACTCTTTGGTTCTTCTATCGAGGGCCTCATATGTTGCTCATTAAACAACACTCAACCTCTCTCGAGAACCCACGGAGCGCAAGACACGTTTGTACATGCAGAGCTATATTACAAGTCTATAATTAGATACACCAGGGAGATGATCCAGTTCAGGTCAACGTTGTCAACAGAAAATGGAATCAAGCAACGTTTCAATCACGTGGTTCACTTGGGGTTCTCAAATGAGAATGTTTTACACGAGTAAAATGTTATGATTCAGATTTCCACAGCCTGTTGAACGTTAACTTGAAAACAAGGGGCGTTTTCTTTTCGACTGCACGTCTTTCTTGGGCAAAGTTGAGTTAAATATCTGTTTGCTTCAGAGGGAAGCAACCAGCAAATGTTCAGGCCTAAACCATGACTGCACTTCTCCAAATTCGTCGTTTTTGACTTGTTGGGGAAACATATTTCAGATGACCGGGGTGGGTTTTAAAATGGAGGACGAACACTGGTCAGTCGAAGCAGATTATCTTGTGACATCCATTAGCACTTGGGTCTGGGGAGACCCTCCCGTCTCTGTCTCATATGCTCACATGACAGGTCATCAGGAACTATTTGGACTAGGTGCCAGATTCCCTGGGATTCCTTGTTTCCCGTGTCTCCCTGAAAGCCTCTGTTATGTTCTCCCTCTAACACAAAACTTTGTAGGATAAAGTGTGAAATTGAACAGTTTGTATCAATGACTCGGCTCAAAGTTAATCTATTCCCATATTAAGTAGTGAACTCCTCACTGACTCCTGCCCTGTATGAATGTCTTGCTTAACTACATAATTTCTGTGTCCCTTCCCCCACTCTGTCATTTTTTTTTTTGCCTGTCTGTGTGTGTATAGGCTAGTGGCCAAGCCCTGTGCCCACATACTTCAGATTCAGGCGGGAGTGCATCGCCAAGCCCAGCCCAATGCTGTCCTGGAGAGGGTGTATCTGTCCAAAACGGTACATATTTTGTCCACTCTTTACCCCGTTGACCGTCAAATTATGTCACCGTTACCCCATGACAGATCTAATGATCTGATCTTGTGGCACTCCAAGCTTGCATACTGGAATTTGGGAGTTTTACAAGATGTAGCGATGTCCAAAAGCAGGTAATTTCTATTTTCGTTGTCCTCACTAGTGTCCAAATGCAAAGCAACTGGAGGGACTTTCCAAGCAACTGGATTGGGATGTACGGAAAATACAGAGATGGTTTCGCATCCGTCGCAACCAAGACAAGCCCAGCATGCAGACAAAGTTCTGTGAGAGCATGTAGGTTTTGAAAAATGTCTCAGTTTAATATGTACTGGACAACATTTGAACCATTCGTGTAAAAAAATGATCTTCCCCTTTATTTTGCTGACATCAGGTGGCGGTTCACATTTTACTTGGGGATTTTTATTTATGCCATTCATCATTTATGGGGGGTAAGTGTAGCTGAAATTTTTGTCAAGCACTCTGTATGTTTTTCAATGAAACCGTGATTAATGTATTTCTCTCAGTCGCCCTGGATGTGGAATACCAGACGATGCTGGGACAACTATCCCTTTCAGGTTCATATACAGTATTCCACATTCACAATCTGATATTATGAGGTCATTCAGGGTTGCCTCGACACCATACTCGTAGTGTTAAAAGTATTTTTGTTTTACCCTCTACCAGCATCAGAGTCATCAACAATTCAATCACTATGTGGCTGAGCTGGCCTTCTACTGGTCTCTGATGTTTTCCCAGTTCACAGACATAAAACGTAAGGTGAGTAAGTACAGGTACTAAAAAACGTTTTTTCTGTCACAATTTCAGCCGTGTTACATCATAAGTCCATGTCACCTTTGTGTTGGTATTCGTTATTGTTGGAGTGTATTTGAATTAGCTGATGACTGATTTTCTGGTAAAACAGGTTAGGCAATGAGATGCTCCAACTACTCCAACTACCACAAAGTACCTTCACATTTGTCTTTCTTTGGTCCTTAAGCAGAGGTGGTTAGTAACGAGCTACATTTAATCAGCTATGTTTACTCAGTTACTTGTGGGATAAATTATACTTGTCACAGAAGGCAACTTACTTTTTTCACTTTTACTTGAGCATCTTTCCTAAGAAGTAACACTATTTTTGTCTGTTACATTGAGCAGCATTCAGCTTGCTCTTTGTATTTTTATCTACAAGTATTTTTATGTGCGCTATATGTATGTATAATATATATATATATTGGTTTGTCAGAGACTTGTCACGTGAATCAGTTTCACCAATCCAACTTAACCACGAGTGATGTTTGACTCCATTTCACCAATCAAAGGGAGCCAGGCAATCACATGACAGCATGTCAGTCTCCGCAGGGCCCTACACAGAAAACAAATTGATGTTAAACATGGCGGAAATATATATTTCCTTTACACATAGGCTCCGGCTTACCTGCAACACAAGTATAATTGGTAGAGAAAATAGATGCACAGACAATGAAAAAGAACAGCCGTGCCATGCACTGAAATCTGTGTATACCTACAAATTTGTCATTGAAGCGTATTAAAATCTTTGCTTGTAACTTGAGAAATGCACAAGAGGGTGTCTCAGTCTGCGTTTACAAAAATATAATATTCTGTGGAATAAAACCAGCAAGTCATCCACAACCTCAATTTGTCTGACCCACTCACACTTGTTTGCACGCTCTTCAATCGGTCGCAGTAAAGCGGGATGCGCACATACACAAGGAGCAAGGAGAAAAAGTCATCTGTAATCTATGTATTGCACTCAAGATTAAGTTGGCAGAACTCACTTTGTTTTTGAGAAACGAAATGGCCTGTCGGCATTGCTGATAAATGTGGGTAAATCCCCACTTGTCCAAGTTCAGGATCATTACATTTCATTTTATGATATGGAAAAAGTATGTTTGCCTGCTGATTCTATTGTGCTCTTTCTTGTGTATAAACAAAGAAAGTTAATTTACAATTTACTGTAGCTGAATTTGCCCAGTTTTGTTATTTTATTCAAACAGTTTTTGTTTCAAAGTGATATCATTGTGCAATATTTTAATTTGCACATTCCTAATTCATAATTTTGTCCATTTGACATTCATGCCCTATTTTAAAAAAGAAATCAGAAGTTACTCGCCAGTTCCTCACTGCTTGAGTTGTTTTTTTTCCACTGAATACATACTCAAGTAGTTTTTGGGATGACTACTTTTTACATTTACTTGAACCTTTATTCTGGAGTACCTGTACTTTTACCAGAGTACATTTTTGGCTTTTCTCTACCCACCTCTGCTGCTAAATCATGGCTGATATCACACTTGTTTTATTTTAAGTGTGCATATTTAGATATAATGATTGTGTTTCTTGTCATTTTAACATAATGCAAAGTGATTCACCTCTTTTCTCTTCATTTAATCAATGTCAGGATTTCTTCATCATGCTTGTGCACCATCTGGCCACCATTTTCCTCATCACGTTCTCCTATGCCAACAACATGTTAAGAGCTGGCACTCTGGTCATGTGTGTGCATGATGCATCAGACATCTTCCTTGAGGTAAAGGGAGGATTTTTTTGGCACCTCATTGCACTTTTGATGTTTATTTTAGTCCAAATTTTGGGTCTGTTTCCAGATTTACTACAACCTTATTAGTTTTCCCATTCTGACAAAAAAAAAAAAAATCAACATCATAACCATTCTGACAAAAAAAAAAAATCAACATCATAACAAAGTAAAAAAATTCAGAATGATAAGAATGGGGAGAATTACCTGTAGAATACAATTGGATGTGTGGATAGTTAATTGTGGGGAATTAAAGTAGTGGTTGTTAATTCTGGTGAACACATTTTAACTTTGTTGAAGCAGCACTAGCGCACTAGAATCCAGGTCTGGTCTAATCATCAAGGTTTCTCCTTGTTTCATTAACATAAGGATCCCCCCGCCCCCCATTTTCACCCATAAATCAAGATTAAATCAAGATACACTGAAAAAATCCTTTGGATTCACTTAATTTTAACATGTACATCATTTGCACATGATTAAAATGTGATAAATTGAAGTGATTTTCTCGTGTTTTCCTCCAAAATAACAAAAATAGAGATGTGTCAGTTTAACACATTTTAATCATGTACAACATAAAATCAAGTACTTTTTTCCCCAGTGTACTGCATATGGAACTTGAGGTGGTGTGGTCAGAATTTCACCCTGATGCTTTAACACCACAGAAATTTGCTTCGAGCGTGCATGGCATCACTCTGTCCGTTCAGAAACTCAGAGCATTGTACAACTGTGCCATTCGGTCATTCAGAATGCCGGATTCCAGTGTGTAAGGACGGCCCATATGAGTCAATCAGTTGACTGTTTAGTGTTAACATGTTAACTTAATTGTTGTACTGGCTAAGTTTTCATGATGACAGAGTGATTCTGATGATGACACCAAAGGCACTTTGTTGTGATATTGACCCATATACTGTATTGCCTTCAATGTACCGGTAATTGTAATTTAGGAACATAACTGCATCCCTGAACATGAATTTGGACACTTATGTAGCCACATTATTTTAGTTTAAATTAATCCTATTTTAATCCTATCCTATTTTTTTCACCTAGAACTGATGATGTTATTTTACTGCTCGGCCTCCTTTTAAATATACCTGGTGTTGATTTAACAAGAAATGGCTCATTTACCTTCACAGTTCGCCTACCCTTAGGCAGCTGTGGCTACATATGTACAGTAGTTTATGGCCACCGTGAATGTGTGAGTGCATGAATAATGTATCCACTCTGAGCGCTCTGAGTGTCCAGAAAGGGACCATATAAATCAGATTTTATTATTACTATTATTATTATTATTATTACTATTATTGTTATTATTATTATTGTTCACAGGCAGCCAAGCTTGCTAACTATGCCAAATACCAGCGGCTGTGTGATGGCCTGTTTGTGGTGTTCAGCATCAGCTTCTTCATTGCTCGACTTGTCATATTTCCTTTCTGGTGAGACAAACCGTTTATTTTTGTGAGTTTTGAACCCCCTCCCCCACACACACGCACACACATGCACACGCTTGATAAATTATATTTGTACGCATTTGTTGCAGGATTATTCACAGCGTTCTGATTGAGAGCTGGGAGATAGTAGGCCCATACCAGGCCTGGTGGCTGTTGAACGGGTTGCTTTTGGTGCTGCAGACACTTCATATTATCTGGTTCTACCTCATTGCGCGCATTGCAATTAAAGCCATATTTAAGGGAAAGGTAAGTTGGGCTCATGGTTCCAACCAAATATTTTCAATACTGTAATATGATGTCAATTAAATGATGTTAATACAATACATCTTTATTTATATAGGTCTATACACTGTAAGAATCCAAACAACACATGTATGTACGGTTTGATTACATAAAGCAGGGGTGTTACTCAATTTTGTTGCAGGCTACTTTAGATTTACATCTTCCCTCAGATGGCCGTTACGACAGTGAAACCGAGTAAATGTGTAATCATCTTATCATATTATTTCTTGTGTACAAGAAATTGATGGATTACTAGTTTTAAAATCACCCAAGTCAACTGTTTATTTGTTCAATTATTTTTCAAGTGAGTATAAACAGGGTGATAAAATTATTGCCAAATCTGAAGATTATTTATTACACTTGACATTTCCGCACAGATTTTAGCGGAGATCATTGAAGTTGAACACAATTTGCTTTCGCGGGCCACATAAAATAACATGGCAAGCCGGAACCTTGACCCCGGGCCTTGAGTTTTGATATAAAGTATTACGTATATACTGTACATACTATACAGCACATGTATTGGATTTAGTATGTCGGGGGCACATGGGTCATACATATTGTGACTTCATTATATAGAGTGACAGTATGTCCTATATTGAAGAATGAAGTAGCCTGCTCTTAGATGTCAATAAGTAACTTTTTTTTTATGGGAGCATATAATCCTTAAGGAGCCGAATAGGGTCATATGTCCATAAATTACCGCTGTACTAGATTGCTGATTTGTAAATCTTCGTGCAGTCATTGACTATTTTCACAGGTTTATTGAATGAATAATGGAAATGCTCAGCAGAGAAAGTATCTTTGAGCTTTTTGGGTCCCTTGAATAGTTTTCCATCACCACCAGAGAACTCTGATTCAGTTTGAGATTAATGTGCCTCAACATTAGGAGTGATTTGCGATGTCATTTGTGGGTAAACATTTTTATTGAGTTCAAGTGAAATGTGTTGCATGTTCTTTATATTTTAATGAACATTGTCCAGTACTTTGCTCATGTAGCCACATAAGCATGCACATACTGACCTCCGCTGCCCTTTGTCTTTGTTTTTGTATTTGTTGTGTTCTAGGTGGCAAAAGATGACCGCAGTGACATCGAGAGCAGCTCAGACGAGGAGATTCATTCCAGCAGCGGTAAACACCCCAATCAGACAGGTGGCCCCACCAGGAACCTCAATGGAGAAAAGCATGACCACTAAGGACAGAGTGTGGAAATTTAGTTGTGTGGATTTGTTCAATTCCATTGTGCCTTTGCAACTCACCAGGTCACTTTGACCATCATGGAATATCACCAAAGAAAGGACTGTGTGCAGGATACAGCTGATCCTATTTACATTTTGTGATGTTTACACCTGCTTCATGCTTGTAAGAGTGACCAGAAAAATTTTTGAGCAAACAAGATGGGTTTGCCTTCTTGATGTGTGTGTGTGTGTGTGTGTGTGTGTGTGTGTGTGTGTTAATGTCAGAAATTGCAAAACAGATCAACACAACTGTCAATACCATTTCATATAACGAATGACATTTTATTACAGATTGTACCATTTTTTTACAGCTAGAAAAATATCCCACGCTGAAATCACTTCAAAGTTTTTCCAAAAAAAAAAAAAAATCCAAATACAAAATATATTTTCTTTGTAAAACATTCTTGTAGCAAACCAAACAAATAGTAGATATTCTGTTGTAATTATTGTGAATGTTCAGATGAGCTTGATTTTACAATTTCACCGAAACATTAAATACACCTTGTGATCCACAAGCCATCTTTTTGTTTGGTATCATACACATTGCCCTTTGAGGTTTGAATGGCTTTAAAAATATTATCACAAGACTCTGCCAGAGCCATCCGTCAAACCTGTCGTTAGTAAGGCCAAAAGAGTGACAAACTATGTTGCTCTGCACTGAGATTACTTAAATCATTCTTCTACTCCCTCCATTTCCATCCATTCATCCATTTTCTAATCGGTTTATCCCCACAATGGTCACAAGAGAGCTCGAGCCTATCCCAGCTGTCTCTGGGCAATAGACGGGGGACATGGACACCCTTAACTGCTTGTCAGCCAATGGCAGGACACAAATAGACAAAACAGCCGTTGGCAATCACAGCTAGGGAAAAATTGGAGTGCCCAATCAACCTGCCATGCATGTTTTTGGAATGTGGGAGGAAAGCGGAGTATCCAGAGAAAATCCACGCAAGCACGGGGAAAACATGCAAACTCCACACAAGAAGGCCGCAGCCTTAATCGAACTCTGCACCTCTGCACTGTGAGGCCGACTTTCTAACCAGTGCCACCCCCTCTATTTCCAATTTTGTAAATATATTCGCATTTCAAAGTCTGTATTTTTTTACTTTTACTAAACACAACACTTGAATCGCCTCCACTTTTACCTTGAGGTTATTATTATTTGTTTTAAACATCTATGTGTTTTTTACAAAAGTACTGTTGTGATTACTTCAGCCATCTCTGTATTCAACTTCCTCGGTTTAGATCATGTTCTGTGCTTGGCAGAGCAGCGGAGCCTCCTGCTGGCCCAAATTATTTTACAGCTTCAGCCGTTTCAGAAGGCGTCAAATAACAAGGCCTCTATCGAATAAGCACAACACACTTGTGTAGACCTTTTCAGAAGGTTTCCAAACAATACTGGTCTGCGCCAGGGTACTTCCGGAGGGCAGAAATTAGTTGCAGTCCATTTTACAACTAAACGAGGAGCTTTCTATGAATCTAATAAAATCAGGGAGGCCTCAATGGGAGTAGACTGTCATTGTTGATGTTTGTTCTGTTTGTGTTTATCCAGTGCATGCGCATGACGATGCTGTTGTTTTAATGTAAAGCAAATTTGGGGGTTTGTGTCTGACAAAATGTCTACCTGTCTGTCCGTCCACAGTATCTATCTACTTATCATTTGAAGCATTTTTACATATAGCATGCTTTATTTTTGTCAAAACAAAACTTCAGCGATAGAACCGTTTTAAAAGAATACCTGTAGGTGGGTTTTCTTGTTACTGAATGAAGACCGCTGCCTTGTGCTGGTACCTTAAATGTCATGAGCCTCACACATCAACATTACATTGCTTGGAAGCTTTGTAGTTGACTGCATCGGAAGATATACAAAGAACAGTTCCGCTTTCTCTACAGCCAAAGATGTACAGTACTCAAACGTAAAGAGAAGATTCTATAAAGTCTTGTCTGTCAATGTGGAAGCAATGACTCAAAAATTAGATAATGCTGTGATTTTCTTATTGTCGGTTTGTATGACGTCTGACTGTTAACACTAAACCAACCTCCCTCTGCTTTCTCAGCCCACCGTCCTCGTTTTACTCATTTGAATCATTGCTGATGATTACGTTGTTGTGCCTGCTAGCGAGCTGACTCTGTTGTGAATATTGAATTCATTGCAGTCAGAAGGTAAATTAAAAGTAAAGAAGCACATCAGTCAGTAAGAAAAATCAAAAATTTTTCATGCAATACTGTGTGTGCGTGCGCGCGTGTGTGTGTGTGTGTGTGTGTGTGTGTGTGTGTGTGTGTGTGTGTAAATACCTGTCGAGAGATTAACGTTTTCCCCTTTAAATCATGGACACAGCATTCTTTTTGTGTCATCGTCTTGTGCTCTTGCCAAAAACATACAACTATGAAAAAGCATCACTCTAACCACAACTCACAAGTAACAAAATTATTTAAATACTTTGATGTAATTCTAATTAGTTATCAATAATTGTCATTTTGAATGTCACAAACTTAACATTAACTTGTGGTGCCCATGGCACGTCAGGGGCTCCTTAATAATTATAAAATGCCCCCTTAAAATACCGGCATGTTGTTTTCAACGATCAGTGATTTACCTTTTGTGTAGTTTTCATGATGGGGCAGATTTGCGCATGCGCAAAAGCGGTGTTTGGTTTCGCCGTCCCCTCTGAACCTGACATCTCGTTGGCTTAGCTTAGCTTAGCTGCCGCTGCTCACCGGCAATGATACAGCAAACAAGAACTCGATAGCACACACGAGTTGTACATGAGTCCGCTTTTTGACAACCAAAATACTGTCGTCATTTAGACAGCATTGTCAGTTGTTGGTGGAGTGTCAAAATCGCCAAGTTTTTTTTTCCAGGGAGGAAGAGGAGGACGTCCGCGAGAGAAATGGACTCGGTGACCGATTTCATGCGACATAGGTTGGATAGCTCGAAAGCGTCGTAGACCACCTGACTGCAGCCCAACTATTTACGGCTAAATCTTCGTGCTTTCTTTTGGCTCTGTCTGTGTGATGTAAAACGCGTTAAGGTCCGATAACTGTGTATAGTGAAGGTAATCGTTCCTGCTTGACCTAACGGGGTTTTAAGGCTAACCAGTGGCTAATAAATTATATCAGTTATTCGAATCCGTGCTTTGTGAGGAGGGTTATTTTGTGTAGTAGCTTCTGAGTTTGTACATCGTGACTTTTACCAATGGGGTTTGAGCATCACAATCGAGCAAGCACGATAGCCGTGCGTTAGCTACCAGTTTAGAGTCAAAAGTCCACCGGCCGATTTTTAAGGATCCCCAAAACTTGAACCCTCCCGGTGGCAGGGATGCACCATCAGGACTTTTGCGGAGACCCACCCAGTGCGGGAAGCCGAAAAACTGTGTTACATTACCGCAGGGGCAGTGGTGGCGGGGCACCTGCTTCCTCCGCTGGTTCTGGAGTTAATGCACTTGAAGACAGCCCGGCCCCTGCTGGAGCCTCCTCTCTGGGACCCCATCAACAGCCCGGATCCCAAGTTCCTGGATCTCAGGTCAAGAAGAAGAGTGGCTTCCAAATAACAAGTGTCACATCTGCTCAGATCAACGTAAGTGGCAGTAACAGTTTGGCTGATGACACTGAGAGCTATGACGACCTGGACGAGTCCCACACCGAGGACCTCTCCTCCTCTGAGATGCTGGATGCGTCAGTGTCCCGAGCCACAGACACTGGCGTACCGGAGAGAAGTTCATCGGATGAGACATTAAACAGTCTTCATGGGGTTGACACGCCTGGCCTTGTGTCACCCAATGAGCTTCCGTATCCACATTCCAGCCAGGGAACCCAGAAGCATACCACAATGGTAAATGGGACAGTCCACCATCATTATTATCCGCAGCAGCACAGCGTATCCCATCATCAGCACTCTGACAATTTGGGAGGAGGTGAATCGTCATCATCAGCCCTTCCCCAAACAGCTAGCCAGCCACTTTCCAAAACAGGAGCTAACCAATCCCAGAGACCACCATTGTTGGATAGCTCCAAACCCATAGCAGGAACAGCACAAACATCAGCCCCTATTGTTGCTCGGACAGCTGGTGAAGCACCTCTACAGGGCACTGTACATTTTCAGAGTGTCTCTTCTGTCATTCCACTTCCCCCATCTGGCCAGCCAGCTTTTGACAACACTGGCGTGAGTGGACCAACAGCTACCATTGGTGGAGGTACAGGCCAGTCAGTAACCGCCTCAAGCACTCAAACACAGACTACTACCGGCTCTCGTTTCAGAGTGGTCAAACTGGACACCAACTCTGAGCCCTTCCGCAAAGGAAGATGGACGTGTACCGAATATTACGAGAAGGAGATTCCACCTGCAGCACTATCCGAGGCACCTAAAGCTGCAGAGTTTTCTGCGGAGACTGAGCCCGCTAATGCGGGAGTAAGTCCAATTCTTCCAGCTGTCCAGCCACCTCACACTCTGCAGCCTTATCAGCTGCCGAGCCAGGAGTACACCAGTCTTCATGCAATGCAGAGCCCACCGCAAGCTTCGGCACAAACCCTTACCTATGTGTCACCCCAGGAAGTAGTTGGTGGAGCTCACACTAAGATGCTAGGGGCTCCTGGTACTCTCCCCACAACTGCACCACAAGTTGGTATAAAGCAGCCCCCCTCCCTCATGTCTCAACAGTTAGCCTATGCTGTGGACCAGCACCAAGCTCAAGCCACGGGAGGTTGTGCTGCACCTCAGCTCGGTGGTCTGCAGCCAGACTTTATCCAACCCACCGCTCCGTTCCAAACCCAGGTCCAGCCTCCACTAGCGCACGTGAGTGCATCCATTTCACCAGGGTCAGCAGTTACAGCAAAGCCACTGGGCAGCCTGGCACAGCAGTCAACCAATCAAGGTCATGTGGCTCCATCTGCTATCGAAACCTCCAACATGGGCCAGTCGCCATCTCATCCACTACAACTGGCCTCCACTGCTACAGGTCCACCAGCGCAGGAGGCCCCTTACATGCCTTTGACTGCACTTCAAGCTGACCTACAACCCCTTCTCACCCCAGGCACAGCGCTCTACCCAGCACCTCTGGCAGGAGGGAGCTCCCTAAAAGTATCCCAACTGAAAGATGCACAAAAGCTTCTGTTTCAGCACCAGGGCCTGCTAGGACTGCCCACGCTGGGTGTCGCTGGTGGTGGAGTGATGGCTGCGGACGGCGGCGTCACTGCCAGAAGCCTGGCCCACATAGGGATGTCTGTGGAGGCCAGCGCCCTTGCAGCTGCTGCTGGTTTGCGGACTCAGCAGGCTGAAGGAGAGGAGGACAGGTGAGATGATCCCGCCTTGTTCATATTCTGTCTCACATGAATCAAAGAGGTCCTTTGTCTGTGACGTTGTCAAACAACATTTCAACTGAAATTCGGACCGCAGCAAACAAGATAAACACAACACATTGCTTACCAATTTCGAAGCTAATGAACAATAGCCATTGAGTGTGCATATGAGTTCAGTTCAAGTAGCTAAAAAAACTGCAAAAAACAATCGAAAAGAGCGTTTATCAGTGATACTCCCCCAAATATACTGTTCTTCTGGTACAGAATTTAAATACTGAGTTATAATGGTTGTTCGCACAAATCGTCATTGCGACTTTGGGGTTGTCCCAAGTGTAGCTCGCTACTTGATTGGATTGGATTGGATTGGATTGGATACAACTTTATTGTCAAATGTAATTTCTTCACTCTCAAGACAACATAAAATTATTGATGGTCTGAGACTTTTTGCAGACATTAAACATTCAGTGCCTCGAGAGCTAATGGCTCAATGTCTCCCAATACCTGTACTCACTGTCATATGACTGAAATCTTGCGCAAACAGCAAAGTGGCTACATCATCGACATGTCTCCGAGGTTTCTTTTCTATTGTTCTCTCACTTGACATCTTCCTTCCTTAGTCAACTTTCTCATCTATCCTTCTCCGGTGTCAAACACCTCCATTGGCTACAGTTGTTGGTTTCCTCTCGAGGATGAGCAGTTTGGATGTCACTTCTGTAGTTGTGTTTTTTGCTGTTTATGGGTTATTTTGTCATGGTCAGAGACTTGTGTTCACGCGCAGACAAACGGCTAGTCTGTTTTCCACGTGGCCTGTACATAGACTGCTTCTTTGGAGCCTACTGATGTCTTGTGCTTTGCTACCGAAAATCATTGTCATTTTTCTCCCCCTCCATATTTGTGTGAGCAAGAGACGAGAAACAGATAGGCGGTAACGCTTTGATATTATTGCTATCTACTACTTGTTTCTATTGGTAAGCATTTTTTTAGGATCCAGGTGCTTTGAGTGAAATATCCCTGTGATTGCTGCTTATTAGTTGAAGACCTGATGTGAACATTTCGGATTGCTTTGAGCAGTAGGCATGTTGAGTTCAGTTGCTCCCACTATTTACTTCACAATGTACTTGTTGGGTCTTTACAGACAACTGTGTTTAAAACCGGCACGCAAGGGTGTGCCTTGTACTTGGAAACTTCTATGACAGAGTTGTTTGATTGTGCTTTGCTTTCAAAAGTTGTCAGCAGGAATTTGAACCTGCGGGTGCTGATATTCTTCACCTTTTAAAAAACTGCAGCATCGTGTGAATGAACAGCTTGCTAGGCACGTGCATATCCTCGTGCAACACTTTCATTCCAAAAGCAATTGAGCATTTCTGCACGAGAGGTGTTTCACAGAAGGTCACAGATGTATCAAGTGTCAAAGTCTGCCTGGGCGTTTTTATTAGCAGCCATCAGCCATAAAAGTTGCGTGTGCCATAGAATATTTAGGTAGGCACCTCAACATTCTCCCTAGCTTCATTTCAAACGAGTTTCTTTCTATCACAACGTTATCATTTTTTACAACCTTCTTGATAGAGTTGCACTCAACCCATTCATTTGGGCGACACAGTTAACAGTGAGTCATTGCACAAGCTGCTGTGTTTAAACACTGTCATCAAAACTGAAAGTTTACACTGGTTGAAAAAATGAGCTCAAAAGGATTCTCTGCAGTACTACAAACCAAAAACATTTGAGAAGTGTATGGCTTACAGCTCATGCTGAACATCTTTCTTTGGTTGATTGACTCTTTGGTTTTGGTGAGAGTTTGGTGGTGCTTCTTGGCAGGAATCACTTAGATGTGAGGTGATCAAATCATGTTGGTCCGGTAATGAGAAAAGGGACATAATCACCCTTGTGTTCAGCTTTCTGACAGGCTCCGTTGGGAATCATTTACTCATTTTCTGCGCTCTATTCATCGTATTGGGATTTGTATATATGGAACTATATAGTTGACGCAACAGTTGTAGTTTTGGAACACTATTCGGGCACCATGAATTCTGTTATTACTGTCCCATTATTGCAGCGTACTGGATCAGTGTCAGCTGTTGTGTCTTCCATAGCAAATATTGAACAAATAAATCAATTACAATAAGATATTGTTTTAAGACGGGTATGTTGTACAAAATTAATCGCGATATGTTGTTTTTGCATATTTTGGTGCTGCAAATCACAAAGTTAAACTAATAGGCGCAGTGCATCATGGGATACATTGCTTTTCTTATGACCATGAGTTGTTCAGTTCTTTTCAAGATGCATTGTGAGACTCATGAATGGCACTATAGATAACTGATACCCACGACGCATTCGAACAAAACTAAAAACGGTGAACTTAGTGGAAAGGGAGCGATTCCCTTCACAGCCATCATGTTCCAGGATTCACCACAGGAGGGCAGTGTCCACCCTTGAATGCTTCCAACGTGAACTGCAAGTGCTTTCTACAGTATAATCCGAACGTGTTTTCAGAGTCGCTGACCTAAATGTTCTTTTCTCACCAGCGGGGGGCGGGAAGGCCTTGCTTGCACGCAATGTGTGAACGAATGAAATGGAAGTCGGCCAGTTTTGATTTACTGTCAGATTAGTGCTGATTCATTTTAAAATTCTGCTTGTGTTTAAGAGAAATGCCTCCTTAAATGTGGCTTTTAGTAAATTAAATCCACCAAGAAAATCCTGTATCCCACCTTTTTCTTGGAATTGTGGTGGTACTGTATTGGGCTTGAACAGATTAGGCGGAAGCCTCCCGTGCAAACAAGATGACGTTGGTGTTTGCCTGATTCTCCTTCCTGCTGCTCCTCCCTTCTGCATGTCTGTCTGGTCCTTCATGTTGCTAGACAGGAAGTAATCAACTTCTGGTGCTTTTAGATGCTGTAGAATTTTGAAGGGAAAAGCAGTATTTACCCGCTCCCAATGTGAGACAAACAATTTTGTGAAAGCCCTTCTTTTGTGTGGAACAAGGTGGGCCCTCCAAATATTTAGCAACATTCTGTGCGCTGCATGCTGCCGGTATGTTGCAGGAATCCCAGATTAAAGTTTCCCCACACGCTTTTGAGAAGACCCTTGCCCGGCTATTCCCACATTGCACGCATAGACCCAAAGTCATATGCTTGTTGCTACTGTCTAAGTCTTTCTCTGCATAAATATTCCAAGAGCCTTATTTTGCTTGTTTGTGACATTTACACACACACACACACACACACACACACACACACACACACACACACACACACACAGCTACCGTCACAAGAACACAGATTTAAATCAAATCTGCGAATGTCATATTTACACCCATTTTGAACTCTCTCTCTACTTCTTCCCATTGGGTGTGGTTGAAAATGGAGTTTTGCTCATAAAATGCGTGATTTATTTATAAGAATAAGACAACCTTTATTCGTCTCACAATGGAGACATTCCCAATTTACAGCAGCAAAGTTATGAAAGGAAGACAGTAGAAGAGCAAAAAGTATAGGAGCTGCTGTAAAGGCAGCCACTCTCGCGGCGCCATCTTGAAATCAGAATAACATAACAAAATAATACAACACATAAGACACAGACAGTCATTCAATCTTAACCACTTTTCTGCATACTCTTTGTTGTTTGAAGCCAGTTGGAGATGAAAGAGGAGAGGATCAAATTGTCATTAATTCTTGGCATGACACGCAACACTCCTTTGTTGGTCTCTATACAGATGAGAGATCTGCGTAGGTTAAAGCTGAAATCCTCTGTCTTGTCACCAAATGAGCAAAAATGTTTTACTTTGTCTTTCTGTCTCTTCTCGTTAAGCATATGGCAACGGGCTGGTTATGTAAGGCATTGCGTGCCCTCACTGGCAGCCTGAGTACGATTGGCTTACACCCCACAGACTCCCATGAGAGATGTTTGAGTTGTGGAGTATTGCTTATCTCTGTTTAGTCTGTGTCTTAGCAAGGGATGTGGCGCTTGATCCTCGATTGCAAACAGAAGTTTCTTCTTTCTTGCCGCATTTGGCCTTCATCTCTGGCCTTAAATGTGGTCTCTGTTGCTGGTAGGGAACAACAGTTTCAATCAAAGTTGTGTTTTTTTCTTCTGCGTGCACCTTTGCTCATTCAAAATTTCAAAACTAAGTCGGGATGCTTTTGCATCCGGCTTTGGCTCATAATCAGACAAACTGGATTCATCATATACATTTCGTACACTGACCAGTCACAATATTATGACCACGTGCCCAATATGATCATATCCAGTGTCAGAGCTGTACACATAGTAACAAGTTTTATTGAATAATTTAACAATATGTTTACTACTGTGGTTGCAACTTGCAATGGTACAAAACTGTCATGCATCATACTGACTTGTTCCAAATATTTTTGACTCTTTCATGTAACCGAGGTAATTTAAATAACATTAAATGTTATTTAGTTTGCAAAGACACAATTTTAAATGGAATGGATATCACTCCAAGTGGTCATCATTTTGTGGCTTGTCACCGTACGTCATCCTGAAGTCACAGTATCACTGCCTCACAATATTGGTTCAGCCGAAGCCTCAGTGCCATCAGTGATTGGCTGAAAGTGGATCCATCTCCACATCGGTAAGATCTCCCTGAAACCGGTTTACAGCCTTTTGTTCTGACAACAGTGTGTTCACCCTCTTTTAAAAAAAGACAAAAGGAGAACAAACTTGTACAGTTAACCCCCACTGATTTGCAGGGATAAGGACTGAGTCCTGCTGTAAAGAGCAACAAAATGTGAATTTCAGGTTCACTGCCATTTCACTGTTTTTCTGAATCACGCTCACCTAATCGCCACATTTTGAGGCAAACAGGGTGAACTCTTGTCGTTGTCCTGTTCACAAATATTTTCAAACATTTGGCATGTCCTTGTCTTTGTTCAGTAAACTGTACCTTACCCTGTGTGAGTGTCTGCTCGCATGGAGATGCACGTGAGGCCAGTGGAGCCCCATATCGTGCATGTGCAATGGCCAGTGTGCGT